TTGAAACCTTTGATTTTTTCTTTATTAGAAGAGTTAAGTAAAAAAAAAGAAACTCGTCATTTAAAGACGGATCACCTTCTTCTTCTTCTTTGTCTTTTGCGAGTATTTTTTTTTGCTTTTGGGGTTAATACTTTGAAGTCTTTCTATTAATGGAATACATACAGCAGAAAGATATTGCCTGTAATATTTTCTTTGATACCATCCACTATTTTCATAGTACTAAATGATTGATTATCTGCAAATCAGAAATTCCAGGTACTGTCCATGATTCAGAACATCCATGTTGGGATTACATACATAAATCTGACGATCTCGATTCTATGGTTTGTCGTGTCTGTGCACAACTGATTAAACCCATCGATCTTCAAAATGCCATGGATCATTTTATAAGTTGTCATTCTCAGGTATACTTTTTATCTTTTAGCATTATATCGAAAATGGGAGAACAGAGAGAAATGATGAAAGAGCTGACAGACACATATCTCAAAATTAGCTTCGATCATCTCTTTTTCTCTTGATCTGTCTGGGATTATTGCAGAGCGTTTTATATCTTTAAAGTCAGAGAATGTTCCTGTATGAATTAAATATGCGTAGAAAATATGAATGGTATCAAAAAAACAATTTATGAGGTGCACTGAAGCACGTACTTACATTCATAAGTTGTTGACTATGATGTTTTCTTACTAAGAACGGATTGAAATTTTCAGCAGCGAAAAAAAATCTTACAGTCACTGTTATAATGGGATAAACTAAACACAATTATAATTTCAACAAATTTTTGCTCAATCTAAATGTTTTATCTCTCTTTATACAGTTATTTTCTTCTTTATATTCTTTCCCTTCGATTTGTATCGAAAAAAAAAATAGAAAAAACTTTGCATTATTACCAAATTATTGAAGATGCTTCCATCTGAAATTCCCAAACTGGAAATTTTTAGGCTTACTGTAAATTGTTCGCTTCAACTAAAAATATTTTTCCATGTTAAAATTTCCTAACTCACCAACTTCTAATAGGAGTAATTACTAAATCTTGTTCTTCAGATCGCTGCTGAATTTGAACAGACGTGGCAGATGAAATTACAGCTAAAATCATCGGTTAATCGGCCAACCGATGAGCCATTATCGTCCAAGGAAGGTTCTGAAAGACGAGGCGGACATGGAACTGAACATCCATGTTGGCGCTATTTCACCCGTAATCGAAAAAGCGCTGATTGTAGAATGTGCGGTACACATGTTGCGTACGCATGCTCTGGAAATCTTATGAGGCATCTAAGATCGAGGCATATCTCGGAATCCGTAATTACTCAGAAGGAGTGGGAAGAAATTCAAAAGGTTTTTTTTTTTTTTTGCTTTTCTATTTACTAAGCAGTGTGTGAAATGATCAGTGAAGTGATGCTTTTCTTGTCAGTCCAAATTTATTGAATGTTTTTAAGCTTCTTCGCATACGCGATAATTCTGTTGTTGTCTACAAGATTTGCTAAAAAAAAAAAAAACATTATAGAAATTTTTCTTCACACCTCTGACATAATAATCAACTGGATCTAAAATTCAGCTTTTTTTCCTTTATTTTTTCTCTGTTGAAGTATTTTTTGATTGGGTATGCGTTTTATTTTGGCGGGTAGTAGTAATTTTGCAGCTTCTTGAACACTGCTCAAATATTGTCAGAATGCCTAATTTTTTTTAGCAGCCGTGAATTATGACCCATTATTTTTATGTTTTTAAATGCTTGTAGACTTTGTGTTTCTAGTTTACCTGAATAATGGGGTGACTTTATGTCAGTCGGTTGTCGAAAAAATTGGCTAATATATACTTATCGACAAGAGAAAGTTTTCAAACTAGAATAAACCACATAATTTTCAAAAGGACATACGTCGGAAATCTTTTGTTTTCTGAATGAATTGTTTGTAAAACCATTTGCAACGAGATTTATAATTCAGAGGAAAAAACAATTATGTGAACTAAGAATGATGGCTACTGCAAATGCCTGTGGTTCAGAAGAACAGCCTCATTCAAACGCCGTTTCATATGCTTATGTCGATGAAGAACAGGATGGAAGTATGGCGGGGGCGGGGGCTGGAGAAGAGTATGATGGTATGCACAGTTTGTATATTTCGAGAAAAGCAAAAGCGAGTAATATGATTTGCAGTTTATTTTTTCTGATGTAGTTTCAGGAATTGTTGAGAGTGATGAGCAGAGGTATAGGAAAGAAAGCAGTGTTTCCTCATCAATTGGTATGTCTTCCTGTAAATTTCGTTCCCTCTCAGTTATATATTTAGGGGTTAGAGAAATTTGTCTTCAAGTATTTTTTGTTTCAATACTTATATTTATTTGGTAAACGAATTGGATGAGCTGTTTCAGAATTGTGGCAGTTTCATAAAGTGATTAGTTTTTATATAATGTTAAAGTATAAGAAGCAGGCATTTACAGAGATATTATACTTTTATTTCTCTTTTTTCTGTGATATCTTATTTAAGGATATAAATGCATGGTTAGGTATGGTTTTAATTTTCACTGATAGTACTACATAGTTCCAACTGCAGATTTTGTTTCATTGCTGTGGTTTTAATTGTGAAACATTCGAACTAGGCATATCAAAGACGTTTTTTCAGCAAGTGATGTAAAAGTAAGTGGATGCAATGATGTTGCTGGTAGGAATGCGCAAGCATTTTCTGGCGCACACAACCCATCGTTTGAAGGAATATCCCCGGTATGTTTTTAAAATTTCAATTGTTCCCATTCTTACAGATTTCCTTATTTATATTATAAGTTGTAAATCACTGGTATTTAATGCCATTATAGAAACATCAGCAAAATTCGGGTCCTATGAGTGGCAGTGTTCGTTCTCGGACCTTTAGTACTGGAAGAAATGCAGCTTTTCAAAAGCGCATAAATTCTTTTGGTAAGCCATTTTATAAAATAGAACCTTGCATTTTTCAATTCATATTCAGGCGGGATTCATGCATATTGTAAATAATTCCAGCATGCATTCTTTTATGTTTCAGTTAGCGGACTTGCGGAAGAATTGTTGTCATTCCCAATGCAGAAGTCATTGATCTGCATGCGACGAATCAGGAAATTTATGGATGAACAACTGCTCGAATTGGACGATGTTAATCAAATTTTCGAGGATGATGCTGGGATATCATAACAGTAAAAGCATTTATATTCGATTTGAAAGCATTGTTTTTTTTTTATTTTATAAAAGAAGCTCCGTTAAAGCAGATGGTTATTAATTTATGCCAGTTTTATATTACATCTTGCATAACACTGGATAGCTGGTCCCGAATAGTATTATCATGTGTCGTGCATGAATGATATTAAACATGGATGGATGACATCTTTTTATTTTATTATTTTGGCGTTTGAATCAGGATATCTGGAATCTGGAATTTTGAGTTAAGGAGGCAAGAGTTGCATATATTCGATGATGTGCCATAGTTGCTGAAAATTTTATGAAATAAATAGTCTCAACATTGATTTAAAATTGGAACATATTAGAAAACACTACAAATATATTGGAAAAGCAGGAACTTTTTCACTGAGGCCGTTGTAGGTCATCAAATATGGGTTGAATAATAAATTTCATCTAGTTTGCCACTGATTATATCAAACCTTCAAGAAATTCTCTGAATGACAGATTTCGTATTTTTCTGAATGTTGCAGTCTTGTGTCCTATACTATTCGTTTTTTTTTTTTTTTTTTTTTTTTTTTCCTTTTTTGAATTAGATTTTTTAGTAATGAGCCGTTTGAGTTGTTTTCCTGCAGTTCTTGTAATATTTAGGTCTTCTATCGGGAGTTTCAGTTTTTTATTGAATAATATTTGTCTTTGTTTGTACATATCCTTTGAACTCTGAACTGCATCCGAATTTATATATAATTATTTTTCTTTTGCTGTAATACTACATTTTGTTCGGTTGTTTAAATGAAGTAAAAAAGTTCCTTATGATAGTGTTTGCGAGATATTGGGTTGACGAAGTGAGATTTAGGTTTGCTATTGCAGTATTTTAGCAGGAATGAAGCAAAGAGACATTTAATGTAACAGCAACCGAAAAGCGTCAAAATTTTTTAAAGTATTATCAAAAATGAATGTAAGGATCAGACATATGACAAGTTCTCTCAACACCAACTTGGTAGTGTTGTTAGATTTCAGGGATATCCACATCTTTTAAGGGATATTCAAAGTTTATTAAGTTGCTTCTTGGTTTGAAGTTTGATTAATGTGCACTTTGCATCATTATATCTTATTGCGAATGAGATTGAAGAGTAATATTTGAAGCTAAATGAAATAATTGAAATAAGCTCTGACAAACAGATGACTCTGAATTTGAGATGGGAATATTTAAGCGATGCTATGCTGTATTCTCGAAGAAGTGATGAAATTATATAATATTCTTGAAGTATTAATTAACATATCGTTCTTACGCGGCATTATTTGCCCTACAACTATCTACAGCATAAGTAATACATAATAGTGAGAAAGATTCTTTGGTTATTCTTAAAACATCACTTAGAGAAATTTTTCTGAGTTTAACTATATGTTTTAGCATTTAAAATCGCTTACATTTTATTTCGTTGCTTTTCCTTTAATTTTCTTTTTATTATCAACTTTTGCTTTGATTAGGTTTTCAATCATAAATTAATGCAAATTTTATGTAGATTAAATATAAGTAGGTATATTCTATCTGTAAATGAAGCAAAGGAAGATTGGAGAGAGTGAGAGAGAGAGAGGGAGAGAGAAAGAAAGAGGGAGAGAGGGAATCTACTGTCCTCTTCAATTCCTTCTGAGCAAAAAAATAAAAATAGTGTATAATTCCCGAATTTGAGATTTGGATTTTAAATGTAAGTTTGGTTTTCCAGTTCAAAGTTAGAACCATTTCTTTTAAAGATTTTAGTTCGAATACAAAGAAAAAAAAAAAGTTGCAAATAGAAAATTCACATAAGCTTATTAGATTGCATTTTTTTTTCAGGTGTCGTCAGTTTCCGGACGATTTAATTTTGAAATGCGACAGCTTAACCATTTTGTTTTTCCGCCATCTTTGGTCCTTTTTCCTCTTTACTTTTTTTTTTTTTTTTTTTTTTTGGTATCAGCTTAAAATTTAAATTTTTGAAAGTAACGAATAGTTTGATTTTTTTACACAAATAAAATGTTACATTAAATTATGCGCAAGTAAAAAGAACAATGCGCAATGCAATGGTATTTATCATTATATATGCTGTTTCTTTTTACTGATAAGTTTAATTCTTATCATTTGAAATTAAGAAAGCATTACAAAGTATTAATTGTTTGTTGACAACTGATACAATTAAGGATTAATTCGAGTGTTAAATAAATAACATGTGACATTTTAGAAATGTCGCTTAAGTATCATAAAACGTGAGGTTCGTCAGTCATTAGCAAATGAAAGTGAACGAATTGATGATGGCTTAATTGATCGATGTGTTGAAGTTGGTGTTGGAGCAGTTGGAACTTCAAGTCCTGTTCAACTGATAGGTGTCGCATACAATCTTTACAAGCAACAACTTGAGGTAATTTCACAGATGAAATATTTTCTTAAAGAAAGATTAAAGAGAAATTGCGTTATAGCTTTCAAATTCAAAATTGTTTTTCAGATTTCCTCATGATAAATTTAAGAAGAAATAAGGAGGGAGAAAGAGAGGGAGAGAGAAATTTCACCTCTTTTTTTTTTTCTTTTTGCATTTCAGTCGAGCGATCTTGAAAAAGAGCGTGCAGGGCGTAAACATTTTGCTTTGAAATTTCTTGATGAAAGAGTGGCTGAAGCTGATCGAATTTTTTGTTATATTATGTACAAACTGCCTGATGGAACAGTAAGTGTTAGTTGTTTTTCATTTCTGAGGAGAAATCGCTTTAAATTAGCAGTGATAGCTTCTAATCAAGTTAGTACACCATTTGATTCACAGAAATGATCTTAGAAAATGTTTTTGATTTTTTCTACTTTACAGAATAACCGTATTGATTCTGAAACTGAAAGATATCATTTTTTTTTTTTTTGAACTGAAATAACTTTTTTTAATGAATGCTACTTTTATGTTTCTTAGTTTAATTTGTAAAATCTTAGTTCTTAGTTTAACTTGTAGGACAAATTAGACTAAGACTTGAAGAATTAATGTTTGTTGTTGAATCATAAATAATTTTGTCAATAGAAAATGTATGCAATTTTTTTTTTTGTAGCCAACACCAACAAAAAAAATTCGTGAAGTTGTAAGTGAAACAAAATGCGCCGATATGGATGAATGGAAAGAAAAAGCATATGCTACTTTTGCTGCAATACCACCAGTAAAAGTTGATGTGAAGATCGTACTTCAGGATCTCTACATTGCATCATTGCGTTCACTTACTTACAGTGATTTTCACATGTTGAAAGAAAAGGATGTTTGTTTGTTTTTTAAATGTTTCAAAAATCGATATGAAATTTTATATAATACAAGTTGATATTTCAAAGAGATAATTTTGTCATCTATCGATGAAATTCCTATCTCTTAAATTGTCAATTAAAACTATATATTAAAATATAATTTCATACAAGCTTTTTTCAATGATGACTTATTTTAAAAAAGAATTTATTATTTGAAATTTATTCAAATCTCATATCTCAAAAATATTTTCAAGCTTGAGACTACTATTCTTATCACTGTTTACCATACCGCTGCACTTTGTAAATTAAGTAAAATGAAATATATTAATTGTAATGTATGATTTTTTAAAATTTTTTTTTTCATTTTTTTTGCGATTTTTTAAAAAATTTAGTCTACTTTTTTTTAAATAATCTAAAATTAAGTATTGCTTATTAGATTGACTGTTTGGTGGTTTATTCGGAATTTCTCGATTTCGGGTTTGATTTAAAGAACTTACTTCCATTATTTGATGATGAGACAATGATTATCATCCAAAATCCTTCAGTTCTGTCAATTTCAATGGATGTTTTTGCCCGAATACATAAATGGCGATGCAAGGGTAAATGTAAATTTTATTTCCGAGGAAGATGAAGTATAATGACATGAGATTTTGTGAGGAATGAAATATTATAATATTATTTATCATTAGCATTAAGCATTAATGAATGAGCAGATTGATAATGTATATTTGTATTAAGTTGAATTTTGAAATTTTTGAGAGAAAAAACCAGGAAATTAATTATATGTTATTGAATAATTTCTTAAGTAATCGTTGGAAGCTTGTAAATATCAATGAATTTCATTGATTGCAGAATCACGTGTTTGCGTTGCTTGCGATACGGATGGATTAACAATCTCAGGTTTAATTGTGGCGCGTTATTTATCACTTTCTACTCGATGCAGTCATGAAGATGCAATTAAAGCTGTCAAAATTTGTCATGAATCCTTTTTTCCACTTCCATACGCTCAGGGTGATTTTCTCAATGCTGAATTTGAGGTATTTTTTTAATTTTTTTCTAAAATTAAACCATAATATTTGATAAATTTATTCATTATTCATCTATAAACAACATATCATAATGTCCTATAATTTTTTTTTTTTTTTTTTTCTAGAGGAAATTAAATTCATTCAATGGTAGATTAATGATGATTTATCTCACTTTTGTTTATGGTTTTTATGCGCTGCATTTTTCGTATTATACTTAACACAACTTTTTTTTTTTGATTCTACAGAAGACAACTAAATAATTTGAGATAGTTAAAAGTTTTTGTAACTTAAATTTACTATTTTCAGGAAGAAGAAGCCGATCAGTTTGAACTTCAAGCACCATCGTCTGACTCTAAGAAAAATTTCGATCGCTGTATGCTTCAGAACTGCATTCGCGTCTATGGGAATTCATCGTGAAGTGAGCCATTTAATTATTTCTCTTAGAAAAATTTTGGTTTTATATGAGTGTATGTCAGTCTTTCTACATTCTAAATTCCATTGAAATTTTAGAATTTCCTCATTATTAGATTTGTAATGCAAAAATTTAAATGTGCTTGTGTTATCGTTGAAATTGCAAGATTGCAAATGTAATGCGAATAGTGAAGCATAACTTGCTACATGCATTTAGAATGATGTTTTTTGTAATGCGAATAATTATTATCGCTCTCAAAATATTTTTTGCAGGCCTCATGTTAATAATAGCTTAAATGGAATGATCATCCGGAAATCAATTTTTTTCTGACGACCACCACCTTATGATCTGCTTGCTAAAATTGCTCAAATTTTTTATCATTCAATTTTTCACTTATCATTAATTGTTATTTTTTAGAAATATTTTTCTTGTAATTTAAGCAAGCATGAAAACTTTTATAGTTTATCCGTTTCCGTGTATGTTTGAATGAGACATCGTTTTCATTGTAATAAAGCAGTCTGAGCACTGCATATTATTTTTAAGTTTTTTTCTTTGAATTTTAAGTGACCTTCATAACTGAAATATTTTAATTTGTTTCAGTTGTCGAACGTTTTGAAAGACCGCGGTGTTATGAAATGGTAAAGAATAAAAACATATGAATATGCATACCTACATTCATAATGATCTCGAACATTGCATCTTAGGATAATTTGTTATAAAATCCAAATTTAGCAGTATTAATCAAATTTCAGTTACTAAGGCGGGATTGTTTCATTGCCGCTTTGATAAATTTTTAACTTGTGAAGACTAAAGACGTGATATGATATCGTTTATAACTTGAAATGGTTAGTTATCAGTAGGACGTGTTTTCTCTTTTTTAGCTACTTTTTGACTAGTGAACGAAAATTTGCATTTAAAATCTTTTTCTGACAAACTTAATACTTCACTATCCAAATATTTCCAAATTTTATGCAGTTTTAGATAAGCAAAAACTTGAGGAAAAGGTTTTAAAATTATATTCATATCTAATGATAAAAAAATACTTAGTGATATTATGGTACGGACAAATTTGTTAAATTAAATACAAACATTTTTTCTCTCATCAAGATGCTCCATAAACAATTTTTTGTCTTAAAATTAAAAATGTTGAAGCAGATTACGAAGAACAGTTTATAATGCGAAATTAGATTTAATCTGATTTGAAAGATCTCAACTTTTTTCATTTTTCATAATTAGAGAAAAAATATGAGAAAAACATTTAAAAAACCATAGAATAGGCAGTAAGGAAGGGAAAAAATGCAAAAAAATGGAATAAAGTTGATATTAACCATTGTTCAGAGAAGAAAAAGCTAAAACTGATGACTAAAATTACTTTTTTTATTTTATCCAACTTTTTCTGTTTTTTTTTTTTTTTTTTTTTTTAATTATATTTTTGAAAAAACGTTTTCAATCATTAAAAAATGGAAAAAGAAACAACGTCTATTTTAACTGGAAGAAAATTGGATGTATTATTAGAGAAGTATGGTAGACCATAAATTTTATTTATCTAAAAATTGTATGTTGTATAACAAATGATCAATTTGCTAATAAAAAAGAAGAAATCACATTTCATTTTTTCTTTCTTCTTCTGCTATTTGTAATTTAAGTTGAAAAATTTTCATCAATGATCGCCACATTGCTACTTGAGCAGTTGCTTCCTTTACTGATAATCCATTGCTTTGATCTGAACGTTGCAAAATTTCCACTTCATTGTTGACACGACTAATTTCATTCTACAAAAATATCTATCTCTGTATAATTTGAGATAAATTTTAAACTTTAACTTTTTTTTTTAAAGAGAAGCTGAAATGTTTGACAAATATAAGTTGTCGCATCAATAGTTAACCTCTATTTGATTAATTAATTTTAATCCTTCTTGTTTTAACTTCTCCGAAATAGTTTTCATCACTTTCAGTTCGATTTCGGCATGATAAATCTTCCGCTTTTTCGTATCCATTTCATCTTTCATATTTTTAACATTCTAAAAAAAAAAAAAAAAAAAAAAAAAAGAAAAAAAGAAAAATTCATAAAAGAAAGTTCACTTTACTTTGAAATTTTTTAGTTCAGCTTTGATGCTAAATAAATTCATTAAATTTATAGCTATTTAAGAGTAGAAAATAGATTTTTTTAGAAATTCTAAAGAAATTGCAAAACGCAACATACCTTTTCAATTTCCACAAATGCACTTTCAAAATTTGCTTCAGACTTTTCATAATTTTGTTTTTTCATATTGAAATGTTCTGTAGCATCCTTAATTAATGGAACATCTATTAAATGTATACTTTGAAGGATTTAAAAATTAGCTAAAAAAGAAGAACTGCTAAACACTTTGAAATTTTAATCATTCAGTAAAAAAAAAAAAAAAAAAAAAGGAAATCAAATATATTTTAAGCATTGATAAAAATCTAATGCTAAAAAAAAAAGGATTAATTATTATACTATATCACTTTATATATTTTTGCATATCTTATAGGATAGTAATTTGAAACAAGGAATGATAACACTTATCACAATCAATCATCAAATTCTTTCAATAAACTATTTATTCATTTTATCAATTCTATTTTATCATTTAAAATAAAAGAGAAAAAAGAAGAATAGAGAATGATTACATACAGTAAGTTGTTTATTTAATTCCATGTTTGATTGTTTTAATGTATCAATTGTTATTTTTTTCAAATCAATCTGTTGATTTGATTCATTAATCATTTCTCGTAACTTTTCCGCATCATCTATTTCCGGTTTTGCAATTTCAGACTTTCTATCATCACTTATGCCAGATATTTCAATTATTCGTCCTCCATTTTCTTCCTTAAAAATGATGAAAAATATGATTGCTACCAAAAGAAAGAAAAATAATGAAAAGTGAAAAAAAAAAAACTTATTCAAGTAATAATTAGCAAAATTTCGATTAGCAAAAATTCTAAATTTCCAACAAATAATCAATTAAACTTAAAAAAAAAAAAAAAAAAACACACAATTCTCATTAAATATGAATAAATATATTTAAAAATTAATAACTAACAATTTTTTGCATAAGTGTATGCCACTGATTTGCAAGAATTTCTGCAGTACGCGACAGTATAGCGTGCTCATTCTTTAAGCCATTTATTTCAGCATGCATTCGCTTATAATCTGTTGTTTTAGTGCGTAACTTGCTAACGTAATTTTTAAACTGCAAACATTAAAATTATTAAAAAAAATGTCTTCTAAAAATGATTTTAGTAAATTTCTTTTTATTTATTGCAAACATAAGTGTGACTTAATGATGGATTAGAGTTGTAAAAAAAAAAAAAAAAAAACTTTAAAATAAAATTTCCAATTAAATACAATTTAGAAATATATAAATATCATTATTCAATCTCTCTTCCTATTTATTTTACACTTAGTATGAAAATATTTGAATAAAAAATAAACCTGCGTGGTTGTAATCACAAATTCTGTACCATCTTTTTCTCGTAAATTATTTTTCTTCGTTTCTACCATATTTGTAATGTTTTGCAATTCAAAACTGTAAAAAAAAAAAAAAAAAAGAAGAAACTACTCATAAAATTTTTAAATTTAAAAATCTGTTCGCTTGATTCAATCAAAACAAAATCATTAACAATTTGATGCAAACATTACTAAAATTTCGGAAGAGTTCCACAAAAAATTCATATCTCAAAATAAGCTGTTTGAAAAGAACAAAAGGTAAAATAAAATATAAAGCTAAAATTTTATCTAATCTCTAAACAATTTAATTAAAACAAATACCGTGCTTCTTGTAATTTTTCAACTAGTTTTGCTTTCTTCTTATAAACAACTGAAGCTTGATGTCGATAAATTGATAATTTATCTGTGTTCTCATCTTTACGATCACGCTCATTTACTAGTTCCATAATTTCTTGATTCATTTTCTCAATCTAAAAAAAAATATCAAAGATGGATGAATATAAATATTTCATAGTTTAGCATATATCTAAAATTTGATGATAAAAAATTTATCACTTTTTGTTGTAGTTCAGCAATATCATTTTTATTGATATCAGCAATATCAACCACTTTTCTCAAATCAGCAACAATTACTCGTTTTGCTTCAATTTCTTTTGATATTTTTTCATTAATCATATAACGATTTGTTTCCATTTCTTCCTATAACTTTAGAATATAAAGTTATGAATAAGTATAAAGTTACAATACACACTCAGAATTATGATAATGTATTGTTATCATTCGATTGATAATGCTAATTTGGGAAAGCATTTGCAATATTAATCTTTTAAAAGTATTCCTTTCCAGGTATATCTATTAATGATTTAGATTTTATGATCATTGCTAGCTAAAGCAATATGCATTTAAGAATGAATGCAATTCGTGCTAAATTGTTAATTCTCTTATCATGATGATAAGATTAAAATTCACAAACGGAAGTAATTAACCTTTAAAGCTTTCATTCTTTCTGTTGGGTCAACTTTGTCACCGGCATTTTTCGTTTCCTCAAGTGAAACATTCAAACGCTGTAGCTTTTGCTCATTGAATAAAATCTAAAAAGTAGAAATTTAGTAGCAAATGTCTTGAGAAAGAAAAAAATCTTCATAAATTCAAAATCTTGATGAGCAAATTCTAATAATTTTATTATACCAAGTTTCGTTGCTCCAATTTAAGACGTTCAACATTTTCCAATTGTTCATTTTCAATTCGACACTTTTCAGCTAATCGTAGCAAACGTTCAATATTTGCTACATTACTAAGTTTACGTTCAATTTTATCAATTCGATTGCGCAATTGTTCTTTTTCAATTTTCATAGAGTTTAAATCAGTTCGTATATTCTCCATCATTAATGAATCTTTACGTGCTTCTATAACCTGTGAATGTACATCCTGAAAGATTAACAAATTTCAATTTACATTTTAATTTGAGCAATTTTTTATTCATAAATATTTTTTTGCAAAATTTAGCTTTTGTAATTTTAATTTGATAACAAATAATTAATTTAAGAAAGTAAAACAAAATATAGGTAACAAATAAATAATTTAAGAAAACAAAGAAGTTTTATAGTTGCTACTTTATTTATACACAAATGAATTGCATACTTTGAATTCTTCCATTAAAATTGAAATTTGATTTGATAAATCAATTATTTCTGGATCTTGAAATGCGCCTGTAAATATTAGCTATTCAATTTAATATGAAAAAAAATATATATACAATACCATATAAATGTTAAATAAAAAATTAAATGAATCAAATAAAATATATAATCATTTCAATAATCTTAACTGAAAAAAAATTTTTTTTAAGTTAATCAAATTAAATTATAAAACTATACTTTTGTAAATTTTTGTAGATTTTTTTTTTTTTTTTAATAAGAATTCGATCAGTTTCATTAGGAATGAATTCAGCTATTCAGCTATGAAAATTATTTTTCACATTTCATAAAATGACTTGAAAAAAAAAAAAAAAAAAAAAAGAAAAAAACCTGGGACATCAATTCTTGTGAGATATTTGGCCAAATATGCTCGTTCTTTTAATGCATCCACATTTTTAAAAATCCATTCTAATATTGGATAAATTACCATTTTTTCACCTTCCACAATACTACGTCTCCATTGTTGTCTATTTTGAAAAATAGAAAAGCAAATGAGCAATTATCATTTGTTTACAAAAATATTTCATTTTTTGCATAATTGTCTTTTAAATGATTAATCTTATCACTTAGTAATTTTTGTTTTGAATTGTAGAGAAAATGAAAAGAAAAAAAATTATCCGTTCTTTTTATAAATCTTATATATTGCTAAAATGTATGGATGATTTGTAACATTCTAAATTTGAAATTATATTTAGTAAACTTTTAAAAGTTCAATTCTTTTACTTTTTCTTTTTTCTTTTTTTTTTTTTTTTTTTTTTTTTTTTTAGAGATATTTTTAAAATATTGGTAATAATCTTAGTTTAATTTGAGTATTACACTATTCTTTCCAATAAATGGTGATGCAACTAAATGTGATATAGTGCTACTTCAAATAAAATTCATTTATTGATTTGTTAATTTTGTTGGAATTTTACAAAGCATGAAAGTTTACGCAAGTTATTATCTTACAATTTTTCGATATCAGCTGGTGGACGATATTTGAGGACACGAAGAGAACTGAATAAACGAAGTGCTGTCACATCAGCACCTTCTTCACGGATATCTATCGAATCTAATTCTTCGATCCATAATAGCACATTGCTTAGAATTTGCAGCAATTGCTCATTGGATATTGCATCAAAGTTGATCAAATTCAAATTCATTTTAAATGGTTCATTATTTAAACCATCCACGATTGTTTGCAATTCTATTGCCATCAAACCTGAGGAGAGTTTCGCCAGTTAAACGGTAATTAATGCATATAAAACACTCATAAAAATTTAAGATGTCACAATATGTCAATTAAACTTACTTGAGGAAATGGTGAAACTTTGAATGTTCAAAATAAATTTTCAAAATAAATATGATCATCTAGACTTATGAATATGAGAAAAAGTGCTGAAAAAAAGAACTTGAAAAGCAATCCTAACAATTTATTTGTATATATTATTCCTATTTTGACTAAAACTATTTTTTTTTTTTTTTTTAAATAACACTAATATCAATTTCTGAACGGAATCTTTTTTTAAAAAAAACTCTAAAATTACAAATATATCAGTTGTAATGCATACATAACATTAAAAATATTTTATTATTTATAATGTTTATGTTACTCAGATGACATTTTCAGGTGTCACATGTAATAAAAGTTGAACAATTTTGTGAAGTTTTTCAGGTGCTATTATATATATACATATATATCGAGAAAAAAACGAAATATTTTCACAATATAAATATATCAAAATAATCAAAGTATTTTATATTGCAAAAATTTGTACTTCAAAAATTGTTATTTAAATAATTAACTTTCAATATAAAACTAAAACAATTATTTCAAATCAAAATGATGAATCATTTATTCAGTTTTAATCTTTTAGTTGTGAATAAGCTAAGCTTAGTTTACATAATTGTTTAGAATATTGCAATCTGTTAACAAAGACTATGTGCATTGCTTAATTATGTTATAAATCATTCCCAATTTTACTGTAAAATTATTTCATTATGATAACCAAACTTATATTCAATAGTTCAAAGGTTACAAGGTCAAATGTCAACGAAAGAAATCAATTGATCAAAATTATCTCTTTTTTAGTTTTATGAACATCTCAACTGTATGCAAATTATGGTATTATATATTTTGAAATCATCCCTTTTTCTTCCAGAAATTCATTTAGCTTAATGCATTTGAAATACTAATTGAATTTGGCTTACATTTTTATTCAAAATTCGTTCCGAATAACTATGTCACAATAAGAATCTTTTTAATACACATAAAAAACTTTTAACTGATAAACTCTTTATCATTTCCAGATGAATCGTCCTTCTAATGAAACTGCGTCCTAAATTATCATTTTTAGTTATTCCATTTTTGATTTTAATGAAAAAAGCGTCCAAATAAACAAATCCAAAATTTGTAAAAATTTTTGATTACTTAAATTCGTATTTTCATTGATTAATTAGAAACTGTCAATAATTTGTGGCTATTTATTCGTTTACTGGTAATTCTTTTATGACAATATTTTATAGACATAATTGTTCCTATGAATAACAAATTGATTCAGTTATTCTTCAAGTTCTATTTCTTTGATTTCATCGAGAAATTTTCCAGCTTTTTTTTTTTTACTGATTGCGCGTTACTGATTATATTGGAAGATAATTCAGCTTCTAATGTTTAAATAAACTGTCCTAAACATTTGTTTATTTTTTGTTGACACAAAAATAAATTGATTTGATGTTTTTGCTTATTGATTGATGTTATAAAGCAATTAGCAAATATACGACGGACACAGTGAATCGTAGGAAAAAATCGCTGGGAATTCGCAGAAATTTCGCAGGAATTAAGATATCGTTTAGTAAGGTTTAATAGGATATGGAATGATAAGGCAGTTGTAATTGAGAATTGTGATTCTAATTTGTTAAAATGGGAATGATTTATTACTTATACAAGAAGAAATGAAAGATGTATAAATTTGACAAAAATTGTAATTAAAAAGAAGAAAGATAAAAAGTAGAGGATTATTATTTAGCTTACTTGAGAAAAACTTTAGAAAGTAACTTAAGAAAAATAATGGATTATTATTTAACTTACTTTCTTGTTATGCTATGTTACCATAGTAATATCTATTTATCGCTGTGCATTCACTAATGGTTTAAGCAATCAATAATTTAACCAAAACAGTGATATAATCAAGGCTATTTTTTGATAATCATTGATAATTTGCAATTTAAGCATTACAAGGAAGCAAATTAGTTTGATTATTATAAGAGAATTTTCCGAGAAAAAAAAAAATAAAAGAAATATTTTCTATGAATCCTTATCAAATGATCTAATGCTTATGAAATAAGTAAATTTACTCATAAATCAATGAAACACAAATTGATTTGACAATTAATACAGTGATATTTCTATTCTAATATCATTGATAAGGACTAGACTTTACTTCAATGATCTAATTCCTTTTTTTTTTTTTTTTTTTTTTCAATGATTAAGAATAGATGAATGTCTAACCAAAGTATAAATTAATTAGCTAGAATATATACTTATATAAGAGAGTAAAAGTAAGGTAAATGTTTTAATTGCAAAGAGCAAAGAGAAATTTTCATTGCAAAGAAGAAAATAGTGATGTGATGGGAAATAGCTGAGATTAATCTATTGCATTTCACTTTTTGACGACCTCATTGAATCGGTCATTCAGTGGAAGCGGAACTGTCACAGTTCTTATTTTTTTCAATAGTTTTTTTTTTTTTTTTTAATGCCTTTCATTTGTTTCTTTTTCGTGTGTCTTTTTCAATAGTTGTTTGTTAGTGCTAAACATTAACGAGCATAAATTTATTGGTTATAATAAACAAATAAATATGACTGCGTGTTCCACGTCATGACTGAGTCATATTTGTTCGGATGTGGTCTACTTAAAAACGCAATATGAAAAGCGTATTTTGTGGGCTATTTACCTGTCGAGATAATTTCACCTTCCCCTGATAGATCTCATAGGCAGTTGTTAAATTTATGCATGGAATTTTCATTCCATCCTTTTATGACATTTGAAGAAATTTGTCCTTTGTTCCTTCTTTTTTTCTTGCTATATAAAAGATCGATTATGTTGTTTAGCTAATTGTTAAATATTCTTCAAGATTTAACAATGAAGTAAATGTATTGCTTGCCCGCACTATGAAATTGCATATGACTAATTGAAAGTTTGTTTTCAGAAGTTAGGTAATTGTGGTCGATCATACTGGTGCACCTTTCACTCTAGTTGTCAAAGAAACAAAAATTATTAAAGTAAGTCTTCTGTTGCTCAGAACTGATTCGGTGTGATTAATGAGAATGCTGATAAAATGCTATGATTATTATTATTATATCTATTAAATCAAAGCTTACAATGATTCTTGGTAACAATGTGTGATAGCTGAAATTAGTTTGTTCGTTTTTCCAATGGTCTAACAAAAAAGAAATAAACAACTTGGTTTCTTTTTTCCAACATCTTAATTTTGTGCAAAGTGTTTCTCGACTCATCTTTTAAAGCAGTTGCTAGTAATCGCTAACTTTTGGAGCCGTTTTCCCATGTTTCATTTTATTTTTTCTTTGGAATGGTTATAAATTAAACCATTCCAGTTGTTGAATATTTTTAGAAAGCTGTAAGCAAAGTGAAGTCAACTTGATATTGTTGAATATTCTGAAAATTTAGTTGTTATTAACAGTTAGTATTTAGTTCTAAAATATTTTTTGCAGATGACTTCATTAACTGATAGCGGTTATCGATATACACGACTGAATGACTTTCCTTCGTCTTCCACTGAATTTTTTGCTGATACTTTACAAAAACAACAAGTTTGTTCACTAATCTTTTACAAGTTTTATTGGGAACTTTTCTCAATTTATAACGAAATCTCAATACGTTAAGTGTTAAAAATTGTTACTTTTACTACTTGTAAATTCTTGAAATCCCTATTTGTATATGGTATTTAGAATATTGCTTGTCGCTACTTAGTTTTATCTGAATAATAAGTTATAATATATACTATTTCAGATAATACTGACTGATCAAGACAAAGATTTGGAAAAAGTTGGCGATTCTGTGCAAAGATTGAAAAATATGAGTAGTCAAATTGGAACGGAACTCGAAGAACAATCAATGTAATCTCTTTTCTTTCGATCATGAATGTTATTTCTTATAAAAAGGCAATGAAAGGTTTATGAATTTGAATTCATAAAGTTAGTGTAGCCAATCGATTTGCTTCTAAATTTTCAACATCACTCAATAGTCAATAAAGTGATGAATTAGTGCAAGTTGTTCGGATTTCCTGTAATTCATCTTAGGTTTTCTATTAGTCATGAAGTCATAAAGTATTTTGGTTGCAATTGAAAATGACTGGAACTTTCTAGTTAGGAAGCAGTAGAAAAGAAGATGTTTGGATATGCAGAAATTTATTGAGTTAAAGATATGGTGCAAGGTTGAGTAGATTTGTATTGCGCATAAGGTTGATCAAGAATTCTTTTTACATGTAGAGTTTTTGGTTGGCCCAGCATTTTGTTTCGTGGTTTTTTTTTTTGCCCAAAAATTATAGGTCTAATAATTAATTGTTATCTAGCTTTCAGTTTTTTAGAATGTTAGATGATTTGAGTACGGATATGGAGAGGACGGGAGTGAAGCTCAATGAAATGATGAAAAAAATTGCTAAAGTTACCAACATGAACGATGGTTTGTTTGAATTCTGTTGCTAATTTTTTAAATAATAAAGTACGTGTCTAGTATGCACAATTGCCTTTAATTTTCTCACTTGAAAAATTTATTACGAAAGTAATGAGATATATTGTTTATCAAGACTACAAGAATTGAGACTAAACTTCATTTAAATTTCTGGAATTTCAGATAAGAGGCAATGGATGGCAATTTTTGTTCTGTCCATATTATTGTTCTTCATTGTTCTTTTGTTTGTGCTGTTGTAAATTGTTCGTAATTTACCATTCTGTATTTATGCTTTCTTTGTTTTTGATTTTTTGGTTAACATTATATTAGTAGGGACTATGAGAAGCAGAAAAAAATTGAAGATTTCTAAAGATTGGTTCTGTTAAAATTTTAAGAGAAGTGTCATCTTGTATTAGTTGACCATCATAAACACAAAATGAATTTCCTCGCCCAGTAAATTCGATTGTTTTCATCTTAGGTAATATTTTTTAGTGTATATTTGAATTGTATTCTTTTATTAAAATTCGAAAGTCTTATTTTTCATCAGTTGGTGCTAACATATCGGTAACTGTTTATAATAAAGCTTTTCCTTCGTCATTTCGTTACTTTTCCATGATAAGTTAGAAAGGACCATTAGTAGTTATACCTAGCAGCTCTTCTCAATGACCATCTTCCAACTTTTTAAAATTAATTTGTGAAGAAAGAGATCTAGCATACCAAACATTGCTTCATTATGGGAATATATTTTGTTGCATGATTAGATGGCAGTTATACTTTTTCTCAAACTACTAAAGTTTACTGCTTATCTAGCAAAGCTAGCTCTGTTTCACTTGTTTAGGAGTCTTGTTAATCGAGATTAGATGTGCCTGTCACTTTCTTTACTCTTTTACTTTATCACTTTAATATGGATTGGTGATTTCACTTCTACTGCCGGATATATTGTATATTGCCCATGCATGGGTAGATTTGGCAATCAAATGGAACATTTCCTTGGCATGTTGGCATTTGCGAAAGCTCTTAATAGAACTTTAGTTTTACCTCCATTTGTTGAATATTATCATGAAAGGAAACAAGCAGTAAGTTTCATTACATTTTTTTTCTACTAGTTGAAATTCTCTTATTCATTTGTACTGTATATTTCTTTAGGGTTTCCTGCACTATAGCACTGCACTTGCTATCTTCCATATACTGTTGAAATTGTGAAAATGTAACTGTTGTCTTGAATATAATTTTATGTTTTACTTTAGAAAGTCAATTCAGCAAAGTTCTTATTCAGATTATGGCAGATTTCGACAAATATTTTTTGGTTAAACCGTTACGTAATTTTCATAAAATGATTGTTATGCGTGAATTTATCAAGAAAATTGCACCAGATGTTTGGCCATTAAGTGAAAGGAAAGGTGGGAGTTTGACTTTATTTTGGAGAATTCTAAATTTATAGTCACCTGCATTCTCGGTTATCTTATCAATATTGTTGAAAATGATCTTTCTGTAAGATTTAAAAACTGTATTGCTTTAGCATTTTGTTGGCAACCACGTCAAAGTATCTATGATAGAAAAAAACCATCTGGTTGTCATGCTAAAGAGGGAAATCCATTTGGTCCATTTTGGGATTATTCGAATATAAGCTTTGTCGACGATGTTTATTATGCTTCAGATTTTTCTGAAGCACATTTTATTGACTCCGTGAGCGTTCGAAAAAAGTGGGAAGAAAGGTATGCATTGCATATTAATTATCATGAGCTTAATGTTCCCTTAGTGTTTCAAAAAAAGTTCTAATCTAAATAGAAAAAGGTACTGTTAAAGATAGACCACGGATGGTAGACATTGTTTCAAAAGTTGATACGGAGTTGTCAAGCAGTGTAAAAAGTAACATTAAAGTACATTGGTGTATTAAATGAGATGGAGTACTGCAGTTAAGTTATTAAGTAATGAGGCAACTTTTCCTCAACAAGAATAATACTTACAGGTTATCTGTTAAAAGAAAAAATGAAAAATAAAAACATTGCATCGGTCATAAGTTTTTGTTGGAATTTGCATTTTTGCAGATTTCCGGTTGACCGATATCCAGTTTTATCATTTATTTCGGCTCCGGTAGCATTTCCAGCACGAACGGACCATCATCATTTGCAGAGATATCTTCGTTGGTCAGAACCAATTGTGACAGAGGCTAACAAATTTATAGCAGAATCACTTGAAAAACCATTTATTGGTATTCACTTGCGGAATGATATTGACTGGGTAAGTTTTTCCTTGAATAGATTTCTCTATTTATTTCAAATAATAATGCAATATTTCATCAACAAAACTTTCTCTTACACAGAAAGAAAATTCATTTCTGTAGTGTTTAATTCCATGCAAATTTGTTTTGCTATAATTTCCGTTCGCCTATGTAAGAATTCAAAAGAAGTGGTCGAGCTAATTTGTTTATTCGCAGAAGAATTTATGTCACATGGTACACGAGAATGAAACTGAAAAATTATTTGGTTCAGCAATTTGTACTGGTAGAAATGGTAAATTAACTGCGGAAATGTGTCTACCTTCACTGGAAACAATTATCAAAGATGTAAAATTTTGATTATTTTGCTAACCTACGTCTCAAATTTGGACCTTATTATGATTTCATACCATTACCTTGAGGTATCAGTTGTTTGTACCTTTTGTTTTTGGAATGAGGTAATAAATTTAAGGTTACGAAGGAGGTATTAAAATTGAAAGTACGATCGATATTCGTATCAAGTGATCGAAATCATTACATCGATGAATTAAAACAAGGATTGGCTCCTCTGCGGGTATATATATTTTTCTATATGTCTGATTTTTGTTTATGACTATGATTTTTGATGACAAGCAGTTAAGGATTGCAATATTTCTATGGTAGCAAGTTAAGGAATAGTGTTAGGAGTTTTCCGTGGCAGAATAATTCTTCCCTGAGAATATCATTTCATAATATTGCAATTGTTAGCAAAGAAACCAACAACAGATTCCTTTCAGATTACAATTCAGCGTCGCTATCCCGAAAATCTACATGTAAATTTGGCGATTCTCTCAATGGCAGATCATTTCATTGGTAATTGTGTATCTACTTTGAGCGCATTTATATATCGGCAGAGGAAGTATGCATCAAGCATTCCCAGACCTTCATCTTTTTTTGCTCAGAATTATTTCATAAAAAATAAAGACGAACTGTAATAAAGTATAATCGAAAGTTGAAAACTGAAAGGTGATAGGAATGTCTTCTGGATAAAAAGCAAATTAAATGCTTAATGTGTAAGGAACAGAATACAAAAAGTACCAATTCATATCTGAAAAAAATTATGGCGCAGCACACAGGATTATTATTCCTGTTTAAATTTTGTTCTATCTGTGCTTCCTATTATTTTGCAATAAATGTGAGGAACTATTTTGGGGGAAATAAATCTTTTGTTATGTAATAGAAGAAGGATGTCCTAGTGTCCTCCTAGTCTTTCGGACATACTGGATATTAGCAGGACAGTTAGGGTATGCATGGCGGATGTTTGTTACATTGAAATATTTCTATCAATAATGCCTCAAAATACCTTTTTTGAGAATATTAAGCAATGTTTAGCAATACTTTATGACTAGTTGAACGGAATCTGAAATATATTGGAATGTTTTCGACATAATTTAATATATGATTCATCGGGCAATGACTCTCCCATTGCTTTTCTTCGGGATATAGGAATGGCTTCAAGATTCTGAATAGTTAGGAACCGAGCACTAAAATTTACGCTTAATCAACCCTACCAGAAAAAAAAAAAAACTTGGGGACAACTTCCACCCTCAACCTTCCAATAAAATTTGAATTCCATAAAGCTATGAGAGCCAATAAATACATAAATACAAACGACAAGATAAAAGGATAGACTTGTCACAATCACCACAACAATGCACGTTACGATAATAAATAAACGACATTTGGGAAAGATGAGACACAACACATGATAATAAGTGCAAAATCAAAATTCGATTGGAATTTATTGCAGAAAGATTTGACAAAACCGCAAAATGCAGAAAGATCCGAAAATACCGAAAAATACAAAGTCGGGAGATTTTACGAGCTTATTTTCTTTTTTAATTTTAAAGTTACCAAACTTGAACTTGGATCAAGTTTTAATATACCATACAAAAAAAATCTTGTGCTTCTGCTTGAACTATAATCTAAAGCTATGAACTCATAACCATATTTTAACTAACAAAATTTGAAAATATCTGCACCAAAATCTCCTAACAATATTTCACTTCATAGAACGAAATCTTTCATCATTTTCCATATTCCCATGAATGTTACTTAAACTTTTACTGTATTCTATTCGCTAGATTTATTAAACATATTTGACTATAAATACTTTAAAATTATTTAATGATTTTACATAGCATGAAGGAAGTATAGAAAACGTTTCTAATGTTTTGCTGAACTATCGATAACCTGTACCATAAAGTAAAAATTCACAATTAAAGATGACTACAAATAAACGAGTCACTTTTTTTTAATTATCTCGATACTTGTTCAATCCACGAAGATTTTCCAGGAAAGCTGCTGGATTTATTAACTGATCTGATCCTGTAATAGAAAATGAAAATGACATGCTAACTTGAGGTTTAAAATTTAACTGAAAGTTAACTGAGATCCACTTGAACTTACCGATGATAACTTCCCATGGTTTCTTATCTTTGGTGACTTCGTAAGCAACTCTCATCTCTGAATATGTTACTCCACCCACCACAAAAACAATTAAGCGAGGTCCCGAGCGATACGATGTCTGATGTCCACGTTCTTTATGCCATTGACCATATCGAGCACTAAGTGAATAATTAGCTCAATAAAGAAAGAAGAAAAGTAAAGATAAGACAGCAGAAATAAAAGTCTTCAACCAGTCAATTGCGGAAAAAATAGTGAATGAATAAAATTGTGGTTTTGAATGATTCAAAGGAAAGCTAGTACAAAGGCACTCGAAAACGTAGACAGGAAACCTTGTTGGTGGTCGATATGTTGGTATGATCTGTCGTCCAGCTAAAATAGGAAAATGCTTCACATCAAGTCTATCCTCTATTGCATCTTCCAAAATGTCTTTCAAAACTGGAACCCATCGAGAAGTTTGGTAAACCTGTTCATTGGGACGTTCTTTACGATTCGGTGTCCAAAATCGTTTGCGTCCTTGCTAAAAATTTAAGAATTATAAGGAAATCATGGAAGCGATCTTCCAAACTGAGTGAATCCTCAGTTAGTTAGCTAGATGAAAAATTCATAAACTTCATAACTCACATCTATAATTATATTCAAACCCAAAAACATTGCATTAGCCAATGTATCTTTCTCCACCACGTCAATATTCGCATGTTGCAGAAGTTTGTCCAAACTTTCCTCGGTAATGCCTCAAGCACACAAAATATAAAAACTGAAGAACCTGTCACATAGCTTTTTTGATTATCAACAAGTTACTCATTTACAACCATTTTCCCAAGACCCTTTTTCTTCTCAAAATTTTCCAAAATTTATTCTTTAAAAAATTGCAGCGAATAGCATTTGACAATAAAGTATTTAAAAAAAAAACTAACCGTTTTTTGACAAAATGTAAAGCAAAATAAGTCGAAGGCGATCGAGTGGTTCAACTGCTGGGTCAATCAGTAATGGTACCATTAACTTCATGGGATCTTTTACTCGCTCACCTTCTGCATCAACCTGCATTGCCAAGTCCTATAAATAGTTTTTATAAACTAATAAGGAATAGAAATTTAGATTGAAGCTTCAACTAAGCTTACAAACCTGCTCCACTTTACAAAGTTTATCGATTCCTTGCTGATACTTGCGCATACATTCTTCTGCCAAATGAAAATGGGTATTGAATTTATTCAATTCTTTCTGATATTGTGGCATCTTTTTGATCATCATTGACAGATCTAAATACAAGTTCATAGCATAAAATGAGTTTTAATGGGAATCATATTTTTTGATGGGTGACCAAAAATATTAGTTTATATCTTCCTTAGGACAAAAACATGTATGAAAAAAAAAAAAAAACCTTTAATGCTTTTTGCATCAGCTTTCATGCCAGCGTTACTTTCGGAAAATTTTTTCAACCCTTTCGTAACTTCTTGAGAAACAACAGCGATATGCTTATGACGATTTTCGACCCAAAGGTCATCGTTTTCATCAAGTAATACCTCTTTATCAATGCTATCATTCCCACCTGTTTCGTAACTGAAATATTAAAAAAATTCGCAGCACCAATATGAATTAAAATAATTTTCTAGAAAACTGAAGGAGTATTCTGTGTACAACTACTGCAAACGAACATAGAAAACAATAATTCGATAAACTAACCGATAGACGTCATTCTCAATATCCAAGAGATCATATGTCATAGCTTGTAAGGTTAGCTCATGAAGCAGTGGACTAATAGCATCAAAGCCTCGATCCAGAATCACTAGCTGACTACGAGCCTTATCTGCACCTTCTCCCATTGAAGGATCATCTGCTTTATAAGCATCAAGTTTCTGCTGCACTAAATGTGATAAAACAACATTCCTTTCAAAATCTGCTCGATACCTGAAAATAAAACACTCAGAAAACGTAGGAAGACTGACTTCTTACATGGATCCAGTTACCAGTTTTTCTAACTCTAGTAGTATAATATTTCCTTAAACTCAAAGGAAAAAATGTTCCTTCATGTTTTTAAAAGCTGTGAATGATCCATAATTTATTTTAATTATTGCACCTTAAAAGTGGATATTCGCCAAGTGTTGCACACACCGTAGCAATCTGTTCTGCAATGCGTTCTAAATTGGTCGTTAAACCACCTTGTTCTTGTGCATTGTAGTATAGAAAGAAAGTATCCGGTGAATCCAGCGAATACACCTAAAAAAGTATTTTCAGCAATTAACTTATGAAATTTTAAGCAAAAAAAGGACGAAAAAGGAGATGAAAGATTAGATAAAACCGTAAAACTATTTTATCACAGAACTGCGTAACTTTTACCACTTCAATAAAATATACAAAGAAACGCTAAAGGTAGTTACTGGTTAATATTTTTCTGGAAAACCAAAGTACTGTAGGGATATCATGGGAACAAGTCATACACATAAATGGAAATGCATACTTGTGATTCATAGGGAGTGAAAGCAATATTTACTTCCTTTAGAGTTTTAATATATTTCGCTGAACGGCTTTTTGATAACGTTGAAAACAGCTGATCAGGACATGCTAAAATTTATACCTGCTTTTTCCAAATTCAAATAATAAAACCGAATTTCTTTACTAGTTTCAAAAAAAAACTTTTCTATTAAGTAGCCACCTTAGAAAGCGACGAAGTTCTAAAGATTCTTCAAGTATTAAATATAGCTTCAATTTTTACTTTTGCAGTAGTATTAATTGTGGATGTCAGCGTTTAATTCTGCAATAAATTTGTTTAGCCGCACATAAAAACATCTCATACCTTCAGTAAAGAAAACATGTGCACATCGATATTGATTTCGACCGTAGATAAAATCTGCGATCAATTTCTCAACAGAATCTTTTGTTGGAGCAATCAAATAAATAGCATCAAGACTCTAAAATTCAGTGAAATTAAATAAATGGCATCAAAAAAAAAATTGGGTTAACATAATTTCCTTAAAGTCTCATATACAAGTTCATTTCTACTCGATAGTGTTGTTGCTTATGTGTACTTCAAAACAACATAAAGCCAGTACCGATAGTGAAAGCACTGAATCATTTTTCATAAGAAAGTCAATTAAATAAGAAAAATGATTTAGACCAAATGGTAGAACTTACAGGCAATGGTTCTCGACGCTTGTTGATATCTTCAACAATTGTAATACCTTCATCCATGATGTTGTGCATCTTGCAACATGCACTAAGCATGCGCATAGCTAATCGATCCACCACCAGTACATTCCATCCACCACCCTTATCACTTCGTCGCAAAGGTCGAATCACTTCATTGAGTAGTTCTATAAAATGAATCGGTACTATGTGATAAAAAGTGAAAAATACATCAGTTTGCTGAGTGTAAAAACTGTTGTGTTAGTCTCACTTAAAAACTCGAAATTAACAGACTGCGAAGTCGCTAGAAATCATCCAATATCTGTTCATAATTATCTTCGACTGCATGCAAATAGTGATAAAAAAAAGTAGTAAAGACATAGAAAACTAGAAAATATGCACATTTCCTCCTCAATCCGAGGATAGTGAAACAGATAACAATTAAAGATGATTGTTTACAACATTTTCATTTATTTCTACATTTTCTAAACTGTTGGGAATGGTGGTGCATTAGCATTTATTGATGAAACTACTTGAGTATAAGCAAAGGGAGCTTCAACAAATATCAACTGAAATTCAAAGGCTTTCACAAGGAAATCCACGGCAACAACGGAAATGCGCACGCTTGAAGGTCACCTAACACTGATACTTCCAGGATTTTTGACTGAAAATTCTTTCCTCTCAAGTTTCACTTCAAGTTAAAGAATGATATGAACTAGCCAGTTAGGCATGACAATAATACACGACCGAAATATCCGAGTGTTGACACAATTTCTCGCAAAATTAAATTTCTCGTAACAAAATTCTTGGTAATACTAAAGATCATGCGATCTTAAAGAACTTAAACGATAATTTGAAGTGAAATGTGAAGTAGTCCATAGCAGATATTGAAAAAAAAAATAGAAAGTAGGAAAAAAGATAAATGTAAAGACATCTTTAATTTCAGATGATTACCACTTTCAGGAAGATCACGAAAAACTAATACAAGAGATACAGAAGTTGCAAGAAAATAGGAAAAAAGATGAAAAAAGGTAAAAAACAAAGAAATGGTTGAACGTTACACTTTCAAGCAGATAAAATCAAGGATTCTTAAATCTTCAGAAAGATCCAGATAAATTATCCATAGCAAATATTTATACCGACTAAGAATTGACTAGCATGAAGTCAGGAGCTGAGATCCTTTATACTCATTAAAATTTTAGACTCAATGAACTAAGAAAGAAAATAGAAACAAATGAGGGAAACATGGGAAGTAAAAAAAGAATACGCAAAAAATTAGAAGTAAATTAACAAACTTTAGACTTTTTCATTTGTCTTATATCTGGTTTTTATCTTAACCTTCCTATTTCCAATTTATCATATCCTGCACATTTGATACTAGTAGCTACCTAGCATAACTACCATATATTGTCCCTGTTTTCCTCTCTCCTACTTTAAGATGTATCTAGTAGTCCGTAATACTTTTCAAGGATAAGCGAACTAATTCTTTAAAAAATAGAACAACGATTTTCAGAAAGAATACGAAGAGCTGTGAAAAACGCTAGGCGTTGGTGAAGAGCTTAAGGAGAATGCAGAAAGAGCAAACGATTCCAATGAGAATAGATTATCGTTTAAAGCAGATGAAAACATACACTTGTGTGTTTCTGTCATAACGCATTCAAACGTTTGGAGTTCTAAACATATTGATTACCATAAAGGAAAGTTAAGTATCTAACCTGTAAAACAGAAATTACAAGTCGATTTAACAATTGCTGTAAGGAAGTTTCAATTCCAGAGATGAGCAGCATCCAGAAGCAAAACCAATTCAAAAGAATGAATACGGTATCTATGAGAAATATAAAGACGGTTAAAGAACGAATGCAGCAAAGGTACAAAAGTGAATTTTATTAAAATATTCAAAGAAAGAAGTCCATTTGGCATCCAATGACAATTTTTTTGAATTGTTAATGTTACTTCAAAAAATTTCAGGAAGAAAATTGAATCGGAGGCGGAAGATGCATTTAATAATGGAATAGCCAATTTGTGTGAATTCGAAACAGATATCGGTAATATGATGAAAAGAATGGCCAGTCCAGTTATCCAGAAATTTGAAGAATTAAAATTGATTCGGAAGAAAAGTAGCAAAGACACAAAAATGCTGAAAATAGAAGTTCGTTTCTTTTTATCCTATTTTCCCTTTTTAACTCACAGTTTTCCGGAAAAGCCTTATTAATCTATCCATTGTTATTAATGGTAGATTGATAAGGTTATCTGGAATCATTTTATCGTAAGCCAAAAATTTGCAGTGAAGCTCGAAATAACAGACACTTTTTAACTGGTTGTGGTTTAACTGCAATTGAAGTTTTGAAAATTTTACTGATGCGCACTTGAAAGATTAAAAAATGCAGAAAACAGTCTAGTTGCGTTCGAAGAGGATCTAACGATTTAGAACAAAAGAAAGAATGCCTAGAAAACCATTTCTACTGCTTTACCCTGGTTTCAAGGAAATGGACAGAGTCGTCAAATTAAAAGTTAAAGTATCATTGCATCATTCTACTCTCGAAATGGCTTATCATCAACTAATTTTATAATACAGATAATTTTAGATGGCAAAATTGTAAAGGCGAATAAACCAAATTTACGAGGCGCGTGAAATATGTGTAACAACAATAGCTGAAATGAATTAAACCACCAAAAGGATGCTTTTCGATTTAATGGGTTTTGTAGTGAATATTTTACGAAATGCTCTATACATTGGCGCATGGAGACGTGATTCACTACTTTATTACACAGAGAGTAAATGAAAAAAGAAGTAATTAAGATGACCATAAAGAATGACCATCATTGTTTGCTATTAAACTGTGTGCTAACAAATGTTAAGTAATAAACTGAGTTAAACAGCATTATTTAGTGATCAAGAATAATGCTGCTATGTTTATATCTAAGAATCAAGCGACACAGCATCTAAATTATTGATTTAGAGATCTAGTTTATACTTCAATTATGGCCATAAAAACAGTCATTCTCAGAAGATTACGTTACGTTATTAGCTGAAAGTAATGAATAATCACAAATAAAATAAAAGTACAACATATATCGCAGAGGATTAGAGGACTTACTCTGGCCAACGATTGCCTTCAGCGACATTGCCACTGTTTGTTGTGATCCTGCAGCAATATTTATCGTACTTTGGAATATTAAAAATAGATTAGAATCCACAAAAAGATTTGAAAATGTCATTTCTGTGTTATATAGCAAGTCTAACTAAATGCTGTTAATTTCCATTATTTTAGCCAATACTTCCTTCACATACTTCCAGTGGACTTCAAGACCATTTTACTTTCAGTACAATGTGTTAGGACTATTCTCTATATCACCCATATCGGTATATTGTCCACACGGGAAAAATCAAAGTTTTTGATTTCTTTCTGATGGAATTGATTCTTGGCACATACTCAGTTGAAAATTTCTCTTCTTCAAAGAAGAGAAAAATTACAGCTTCTACTTTCAGTCTTTGAAATTAATTAGCAATATATGGTACGAACATATATGTAAACAAACACACACACAATATGTAATTTTAGACCAACTCATCAGAATAAAATCAAAGGTATGGTGGAGTATGGTAAGCTAATAACATAATAAGATGAAATCAATGTTGACGACACTCCCTTTTGTAGGAGACATTCCAGTCCTGAGCTATAAACGCACATCCAGCCCCATTCTCGACAAGGAAGACTCTCAACATGTTCAGTGAAGTTAGCTTCATTTAATATGGCCCGTAAATGGAGGCGATGAAAAAAATATTTCTCGTAATTATAATTTTATGTTTACTAGGTTTCCCACTGCAGGAAGGCGTGGAAAGTCCCATGCAACGTAAATCTGATTACAGAATATAGCAGTAGTTAAATAAAGGACTTATTATTTACTATTACTGTTATTGTTATTATTTACTTATAGAAAGAAGTTCAGAATTTATGTCTTGTTATTTCACGTCATCGTTCAACTTGTAAACATATTTGGTAGTTTTGCTGACTTTCAATAAAATTTCTGATCGGATTTTATAGACCTTTTTCTAACACGGCTAATTTAGATATGCATATATATATATATATATATATATACGTTTAAGCCTCTATCTATGTTTCATAAAATTTTACTTCCATATAATAAACGACCTTGCTATAAAACTTATTTTTCTTGTAATCCCTATTATTAGATGGCCGCAAGCATTACGTTCACACATATCAATTTATTATGTGTTAATTATCGTTACATTTGTTTTTTCTTTTTCACAGGAAGTTAATGAAGTCATTATGTGCTCCGGTGTTAACTATAAAAAGAGGTGAGGAAGATGCTGACTGCCCTGTTCTTCTAGCCAGTAAGTTTTTATTTTCCTTTGAAGAATTTCTAGACAGCAGAAGATCAATTCAGTAAAATGATTTACTAGATTATCTTCATTTATGTATTTAAGCGATTTTTTAATTTCAGCTAAATTTGTTGCCTTATTAAGTTCTCTCACATGCTAACATTTTCCCACATACTATTTTAGGTAATGGTTGCATGATCGATTCTTATAAGAAGGATCACAATGGACTGTTAGTTTCACAACATCAAACCTGTGTTTTTGAAGAAAGAAAATGTAATATATATGGGTTGACTTATCTTGACAAACAGGGTATGCGTGCACCGTTTTGCTCGTTTTCTAAACTATCATTAAAAATTACTGATAGTGAATAATCATTTATCAGTTAATTAGTGTGTATTAAGAATACAATTACTGCTACAGAGGGATGTACTAGAGGGATGTACTATATTGCAAGTAGTATCGATTATGGCAGTTTAGTTATAGTAAAATGTTACCAGTGCGTTAAGTGATTTTTTGAAGTTATTTTTCAAAATGATAGTTAAAAATAGAGAAAGTTAAATTCAAGAAAAAGGATTTGTAATATCCGATTTGGTTCTTTTAGGAGTAATTAATATCTATTTAACATATAATTTCCCATTAAGCATTGGCGTTACTGATATTACAAACCATTCTTTTAAAACTTAACATTCCCTATTTTTAACTATCAAATAACTTCAGAAAAATTACTTAACGCACTGGTAATCTTTTATTATAACTAAACTGCAATTTTTCTCATTATAAGATAGGCGTTTTTCTTCCAAATCAGTAATACGTTTTTGTTTTTTTTTAAATTAGTAAGTCATACGTTCCTTTATTTAAAAAGATTTGGAATGCTTTAATATCGGCGTGGTCGCAGATCTGAAAAAGATGAGTTCCATCTGATCTACTTATCACTTAATCATAGTATTGTAATTTTTTTTTCCAGTTAGATTAGAAATATGTGTAAGATTTATCTCATAGACCAGAACAGCATTTGATTTTTTTAGAGACATTTGAGTCACTTCTGAAAATTTTGTAATTTTGAGAGCTATTTTTAAGGTGTCGTTTTTAGATGTTTTATTCGCCTATGGCGAAAAATTGGTAGCAGTGATACATCAGTTTTCCAGCACTCCGCAGAAACAAGTATTTACTTTTAAAGACTGGATCCAAGCCTTGCGTGTTTTTAATAAGCAAGAGGAGCCAAGACACTCCGTGGAGGTTAGATTATACTGTGTATGATTCAGATTTCATTTTAATTAGTTCTTGAAATGCATTTCTTAGGCATAATTTTCCAAATAATGTATTATACTATCTTTTAGGGATTTATTTACTAATGGCACTTTTTGAAAATTTGCGACTAGTTTGAAGTGATATTTTTTCAGTGATAGGTTTCAGTCATTTCAGACAGCTAAATAACTTATTCCATTTTTGCTTTTTTGATAGATAGTAACACTGTCCATCAATAATGCAGTGCAACTTCTCCGTCTGGACGTTTCTGCTGGAAGTTCAAATCTTGCCATTGAAGAAGTGACAACTGTGAAGTCAAGTTACCGAGTTTCCATGTAAATTTTTGAAAAAATTGTAGATTTCAAACCTCTTTAAGTTCTTATTGTTTAGCTTTAAGACAATTTTTGAGATGAAAATGGGTTCAGTAAGGCAAGTATTGATATTAATTGCATAGGCCAAGTTTAAAGAGTCGTTTATATCATAATTTGCCATGTGTTATTAATAATTTGATTTTTATAGGACTATTTAATCACTTTATTTATGTGAAACTTGAATTATAAGTAATAACATGTAATGATTTTCAAAAATTTCAATTCCAAGTTTTGCAGAACGCATTCAGTTTTGGATGGCGATAGTTGGAATAGTCTTCGCACAGTAGCTGGTACCGTTATGGGTGATATAATCATTTCGTATCCCTCCAAATCTTCTTCTCCTTTTCACGTTCTAAGGCATCACATGGTTCGGAATTTGCGAAGTTTTCTGCATTAAGTGACTAGACAAAAATATTAAACCGTACTTTTGAATATCGATGGTTGACAAATTGGAGTATCAATTAGAAGAAACTAATGAAGCGGATTGAGTACAAAATTCTTTGACTTTAATAGTTTAAATGGCTTATTCTATCCTAAAAAGTTTTTATTGTGCTTTTGTGCCTCACATTGCCAACCAGTAATATGGTGTAGTTTTTCCCAGTAGGTTATTTATGCATGTGAAGAAGTAAATCTACTAATAATTGATACAAATTAACTATTGCAGGGTATGATTTTCGGCTTACTCATAAAATGTAACTTTCTGTTTTCTGTGTCGGATGACAGGAGCTTGCATATGTGGTCCCTGGATGATGCTCGTCATTTAGACGAATGTTATGGGCATTCAACAAGGCCATTTTCTATTTGTGATGGACCGCAAAATGTGGTATTCACTGGAAGTCAAGTGTGTTATTTTTTAGTTCACAGTTTTGTTGTTTCTATTTTTATTACTACTTTTTCTACATTTTGAAAAACTAAGGTATTGATTTTTGACAAAAGTGCTTTTTTCAACTCTTTGGCATATCAGATTCAGCTGAATTATTTCATGATTACAAAATGCTAATATTGTTTCTTTTTCTGTGAGAAATATTTTAATCTTTAGGATGATTTAGCTATTCTTAATGCTTTTATATGATCCTATAAGTGTTTTGGTTTAGGACGGATGTATATGTATGTGGTTGTATGGTGAATCATTTGTTTCGCTTTTAAAGTTGATACACACGGGTTGTGGTGTTATCCGTTCTTTTCTGTTTGTATCTCAAGAACTGGTAAATTTTTTTGGTCCCATTGTTTTATGAAGATTTGTTTAAATTAAATTGCAGTTCCAATTTCTTATTCTTCAGATACCTTAAAATTTGCTTTAGATACAAAAATTATTGCTTGTGCAAGGATTCATTGTTATTTGTAGTTTTCTGCTTCTTTATCATAATTCACGATTAATTTTCAGTTTTTTGGCACAGATTATGGGTTCTTTGGATCTGTAACATTTCCAGAAAATATAGAAAATATGCAAACCGTTAACCTCATTTATCCAAATCTGACAGTGCAATCATTCGTTGCGGTTTCACAACAATGCTATTATATTTTGGATTTACAAGGGTTAGTTGTCGCAACTTTTTAAAATTATTTTCATAAATAAATAGCAATAATAGAAATATTACATAAAGAAAGAGAGTAAATCTAAATGGAAGGTGTTGGTAAGCAAAGATGTGGAAAAAAGTTTGTGTGGGAAAATGCTACAGCATAGTTATATAATGATTTATGAAATTTTTTTCAAGCTTTTTGGATATACTTCAGTAGAAACTCTGTGGTTTTTCTGTTTTAAAACGAGTTGATTTATTGATGTAATTAGTTTGGTAATCCATAATGCTGCTAGAAATATGTCCATATCATACAACAGCCATACTACGTAATTTCAGAACACTATATGAAGCAAATGCAGTTTCCTTAAGTAAAATAATGCAATGCAGTTCCGCCAGATCCAACTCACTGAAATTATCACCATGCCGAAAATACGTAGCTTTTTCAGAAGACAAAAAAATGCATGTAGTAAGAAGTAAGTAGCTTTCAGGATAACTTCTATCTAAATGCTTCATGCGCTTACTTAGATATTTATTTTTACATGTTCACTTAATAAATAGCATGTAAAAAGTGGGCTTTTCCTTTCCATGAAATTCATTATTTTATCTAAGTTCGTTTCTTTTTTTTTTTCTAGTTGAGGACCGCAAATGCTCTCTTTTTTGTACTGTTGATCAAATACTGGATTTGTTTTGGGTTGACAGTTATTTATTTCTCACATTAATCAACTTTAAAAATGTGAGTTGTTTGATTTTTACTAAGAGTTTATGATTTTATATTTCTATTCCTCTTTTGTCCCTCGTCGTTTGGATTTTTTTCAAAAATCCCCCAAACAGATATGTTCAAAATTGCTAATAATTTCAAAAGCTGCACACTTCCCAGTGGGGTTATTGGGTTGAAGTATTTTCTTCTAAAAAGTATGCATATTGATGGTAACGTCAAAAATTGTACAAAAGCATTTTTAACCAAGTTGCAGCTACTACTTCACTTATCGGAGGATATGTCAGAATGGATAAACCACACTTTGCAAATAGACGTGCGAGAAATTTTCTCTTGTGTTACGATTCATGCCGGGGATCTTTTTCTTGGTACAAACAAAGGTTCGATTGTTGTTGCGCATGATCTTAAGGTAACGCAACAAGACATAATTAATTTGCTTTTTATTATTTCTAATTTTACGTTGAATATCCAAATAAATAATGGTGAGATCTGTGTTTACATGGGTTTTTGTGCTTTTGAATGTTATGTTTTCCCTTAATAACAAGAAGTTAATTGTGGTGTTTCATCGCTGCAACTGTTTTTTTGCGAAAATGCAGTTCCATGATTTGTAATTTCAACACAGTTCAGTGAATTAAAGTGTAAATTCACCCAGCTGGTTCATTTTTCTTTTTTTTTTTTTTTTTTTTCAATTTAAATTATATAATATTGTCTACCATTTTAGATGAAACAGATTATAAAACGAGCCCATGGTAAAAATGGTGTTACAGATGTGAAATTTTATAGGAATAAATTATTGTCTATTGGACGTGATGGGAAATTGTGCATCTGGAAGAGAGATTATGGTTCGAGTTATTCAACATTAATTAATTAGAGTCATGTTTTGTTATGACTCATAATTGAAATAAAAATTAAGCTTTCAGTTAAATGTCGTTTTTAGAGAATCCTCTGCAGCTATTGTCTTGGTCTAAACCTTCTACTGCAATCGAAATGGAATGGCCGTGTAGGTTTTTGGAAGCAACAAACCAGTTATATGTGGCAGGGTTCCGTGGAGTGCGTATAGTTTTTTTCTTTTTTCTTTGAAATATAATTAATGAATACAAAACTGCTTTTTACGAAATCGTATTTTTCATAATCCCATTCAGTTTGTAGGGTAACTTTATTCTGGTGAATTATGAGAGCGGACATTGCGTTTGTGACGTATGGTGTGGTGGAAGACGTCGGTCATGGTGCTTGTCAGTATTGGAAGAAAATGGAAATTATAAAGGATCGAAATCATTGTGTTTTGAATTTGTTATTAAAAAAAGGATTTCAAGAATCACACTTTATATGAGTGATTTACGAGTAATTAAGGTAAAGATACACGATTTCTTATTATGCTAAACTGACGATTATTTACCTTCATCATCTATATAGGTTTTCTCGAGGGGATATTGGAATTTTAGTGAATTTTTTCTTGAATTGTTTCGGTTCTGAAAAGGACAGTAGGTTAGTTCGATCTTTTCCTTTGACTGAATATAAAAATCTTGCTAAGGGATTTTGAAATCACGATCAAACATGAACTAATCTTTAAGATAGTTTCAAATTGATCTTTTAAGCAAAAAATATTTTTGCTTCATATATCTTCTGTATACATTTTCTGCACCGTATACATTCTCCATACACATATAACAAAAAACCTACAGAGAAATTAATTTTTAGTCATTTCCTCGACCTGCATGTATATATAATGCATTTTCGTTTTCAGCCTAATTTGCATTTGTCCAACATCACATCTATAGCAGTTACAAAAATTGATCAAAAAGACTTTTATGTTACCGGTGGTATTGACGCTATGCTTGTCTTATCCAGATTTACCAATTCAGGTTTGACAGATTCTGTAACGATATGATTGTATAAAATAGTTACAATATTTCTTAGAAAAGTGCTTTCCTAAAATATGAAAAAATATGAAAATTTGGTTTTCTACAATTATCAATTTCAGGAAATGATTATGACAAGCTTTCAGGATCTGTTGAAGTAGTGCAGCGATTGCAAGCTCATTCGTCTTCAGTGTACTGTATTTCTGCAATGAGTCCATACCTCATATCGGTTGGGGGAAAATCTGAAATTTTCATTTGGCGTCTAGAAGCAGGTATATTTCAGTATATAATTCATATGTTTAATTCTTTATTAAATGGATGTAATGTTTTCCAGGAAATCTACAGCAGTTATTTAACACTCGCATGAAAGGGGATTGCAGATTGTTAAGTGTTCAATTTGTATCAGTCAGTCCTTACATTCGATTCGTGGTTTCATGCTCGGATGGAAGATTAATGTAAGTAAAACTGTATGTTGCAGCAATTAGTTTTATTTGACTGCTGCAGCCATTTAGAATTATTTTCTGTAACGTAAAGAAAATTCGCAAATTTCTTCTCTTTAAGGATTTACGAGTTAAGTAAAGTTTTGGATTCAAAAAAACAAACAGTTTTATTTGAATCGTTTGGTGGTGATGGAATTATGGTTAAAGTTTCTTGCGCTTCGTTAAATGAAATCGCTCTATGTGGCGCTGTCTCATCTACAGGAATGTTACACATCTGGAGTTTATCAGAATTAGTTGATGTGAAAGATCATAGAAGGATTGAAGTGGAGAAATGTGGACTCAGTGCATTGAGCATGTACAGCGAAGATGGTAGTTTTTTTTTTCTTAAGACTTGAATTTTGAATTTTAGAAGTGTTGAGTTTTTGAAAGTGAAAAAACCAGCAACACTCACCATTTTTACCTTCTCAATTACTTAAATTTCAATAGTTTACTTTATTTATATTTTAGAGCTCTTATACGTTGGTGTAGGCTCTGAATCAGGCACTGTCAGTATATTTCAGTTCGAAAAAAATTGGAAATTTGTGAAAAGTATTAACTGTTGGCATAGTGCTACATGCACAGGTGGACATTTATTTTTTTTTTTTTTACTGGTGAAACATGAATAAATTATCTGTTGCTTAAGCGGTCGGTTTCACATTAATTTGCTGGGTTTTGAAAGCAAAACCTGCTTGTCTATATTTTCCATTATTTTTATTTTCCAAGTTTTTTTTTTCTTCTTGGTTAGGATGAATTATTATAGATTTGCGTCTTCATCGAACCGCGCAATCATTTTTGGTATTTTCAATAGCATTAGACTGCAGATTAGCTGTGTTTCTCTATTCTCCTGGTTTTAAAATGGTAAGCTACTATCAGTTTGTTGGGATTGAACCTTTGCATCAATAATGTGTGATCTACTCAGACAAATTAAAATTTATAGTTTTTTTTTTTTTCTATTTTTAATGAAATAAAGTAATAAGTATGGCATAAGAATTCTAGTTATCTATCCTTTCCAGTTGATATTAATTTTTTGCTTCCATTCAATTTACGCGAATTAGATTAATAACTTAGGTCCTTCCCCTCTTCTAAGTTGGTACGAAATAAATAGCTGTTTTGAAACGTTGTTTCAAAACTTTAACTAAAGCACAAAAGAATGTCATTCCTTCGGCGATTTGATTATATGACAAGAATTAGAGTTAATCTATTGGGAACTCTGAATTATGAACTTTGCTATCATATTGAAATCTCTTTTCTTTCACAGATGTGATTACATTTTCCGGAAATTAACGCTTTGTTCACGAGGTAGCATTTTATCTTCGTTTAAAATGACTACTTAAGAAGGTTACAGGATAGGTCTGTTATTCCTACATGTATTTGAAATTAACCTAATATATATATATATATATATATATATATATATATATATATATATATATATTTAAACATGACAACTTCCAATAATTTTCAATGTGTTCTGCTTCTCCTGTGTTATTCCTTTAGCCATATTATTGAATTGAATTGTCATGGTTAATTTTTCCGACATAAAAAAAACAAAATTATTCTGTGATCTGAAGTATTCTGTCTTCTTAAGTGCATGGTTTTTCAACTTTTTTAAGTACATTTTGCGATAAAAAAATAAAACATTGTATTGTCATTGTTCCTAGTTTTATTTCTTTCTAAAGGTTTATTCCTTTGTTTCAGTTGAGCTTCCAGCAGTCTGTGTTATTAAATATCGCCGATCCTTCATCGTTAATCGTCTCGAATGTCAGTAACAAACTAGCGAAGTGTATAATAGCTGGTACATCGATCTGTCTTGTTTACTTCGACGATTCTCCTCCACATTTCTGTGATGGATAACCGAACGTTGAAATAAGGAGTGCTAAGGTAAAAGATTGATCAGTTCTTTGTTTGTCCTTTGTATGTTAGAGGGAAGCCAACATGTCTGCTACAGGTTGTTGAAAGAAAAGGTGTTAAAAAAGTATAGATTTGAAGGCACTGTTTGTGTGCATTTTTTATCTTGAATGATTTTGTTAAGGATCAGAAATAAAAGGAATTTAAAGGTTTATCTTGATCGTAGAGTAGGCAGTTCAATTAATGCACTATGTAACCTGAAGCAAAATTGTTGGCCTCAGTTACGCTTATCTATGAAATCACAATCAGATTGTTGAATCTTTATTAATATACGATTCTAAGGTGAACTGTATAGCTAAGAAAGTAATATCTCGTTGTTGTCTGTTCCTTTGTTAGAAAAAGAAGGGTTAACAACTCCTTTTTTAATGTATGGTTTGTGTTAAGAATTGGAAATGGTTTACAACAAACATTACAACCGATGTTTTGGGTACACAAGGGACTGTAGATTGAATTACAGTATAAGAATTGTAGCAAGATCAAATCGGGAAATTAGCATGTGAATTTAGTTAAATGATTCATGACATTGTTATTTATTTACAGTCTGAATAATTAGTTATTTTTCCATAACTTTATTTTATTTTAATTAAAGTTTTGCAATATTATAATTTGCGGCAGTCTCAAAAGGGGAAGAGAAGAAATTTTTTAATGTGGAATTTCACTGAGTGATTTTTAGGTATATAGCAAAAATATTAAGTTTAAGAGCTAGGAATTCTTCTTTAGTTATAAGTTGAGTTTGTATTGATCAATATCTTTTCTGCTGTATCATAATCATTTTTAGTCATATATTTCTTTTTTATATAATGATTGTAGCCGTGGTAATTTCCTTCTGCAATTTTGTTTACGATATGAGCCCATATCATCGCTCTAATTAGTTTCATCCAATTGTGAATTGTTAGAAATTTTTTGTCATTTGTGGGAGAGTTAGTCGGTTAGGCACAACTGAAGCCTTTATTGGTAATTGCTGTCGTGGAATTTATTGACTGCTAGATATTTCATTTTGCCAAGCTCAAACTTGGGTAATTAAATCAACAAATCAACACTAAAAATTAGCGCAAAATCAATATAACAAGCAACGAATAGATATAACTGTAAAACACTAAAATATTATCAAAGTACCCCCAAAAACATAGATTGGAATAACGATTAGTGGGGAAAGTTGGTTAGTTTGTATACAGAATTAAATTAACAACCGGAAATCTAGTGGCAATATGTTAGGATTTGAATGTAACTTAAATGTGTCGTTTTTACGACAACTACAATATAATATAGTAGTAATAATGAATACAGAAATTAAGTCTAAATAAATAGAATAGTGAAGTGTGATTCGTGTGGAGTGGAGTTTTGGAGTTGTCGTTTTGGGTTCCGTTCGTGTAGAAGCTATATAAAAAGGGACTGAGAGAGGAAGGGAAATGATGAACATAATTGCAAGTCACATTATATATCATTTATGAAGGAAGTGAAGTTACATTTTACATTATATGTATTTGATTGTTAGCATGCGGCTTATATATGCTAAGATGTAGAAGTGGTTTATATTCAGACATTTTTGTACGAAGATTAAATTGTCTAGACATTATAATGAGCGTTATATCTTCTTCTATAATTCCTTCTACCTGAGCTTGTTTAATTAGCATATTCACAGCTAATTCGTGATCGTCTTCATTGATTCGGTTTTTTTTCGACGAGGTTTATAACCAAGGGATCTTTCTTTTTGGTATCGAGTTTATAAATTTTAAAGCTCATGCGGTTGTTACCATTCTTGACCATTTACTAAATCGTTCAGCTTCGATTATTTTGAAAGTTTTGTCAATTGTCAAGCTCACTCTAATTCTTTTATCTTCACTTTTATTTTCATTTTCTTCACAGTCTTCCTTAAAATTATATTCACGTATTGGCCATTCTGATTCTTCCTTTATTAGCCATCTTGGTTCTTCCCACCATGGTTCAAATCGCGAAGTTTTTAGTGGTACTATTTCTCTTGTAGCTATATCGGCGGGATTCTCTTCACTCGAATGTGTCGGTAAGAAATTTTGGCCGATCTTTTATTCCAGGAATTGGTTTGAATTACCTCTGTTCGTCCTTTTATTGAATTCGTTGTCGTTTGAGAGGAATTCTCGAATATTCATTGATGTTTCATTAAATACTGTTTTCATTTCTTTATATTTGATAGCTTTATTTATGTCCTTTATTGATATTATAATATTGTCGACATAAGGGTTTTTTCTAAGGATTTTTTCTAATTTTCACTACCACATTTCTCCATTGGTAATTGAGAGTGGCTGATAATAAGAAGGGCGAACATATTTCTCCAAAAATCTACGAGGTTAACAACTTTTGCTTAATGATGTCCTTTGCGGCTTGTCAACTAGTAAGTAGATTTGATTGTAACTTGGATCAGCAGCTCTTTGTTACACTGATTACTCTTTCGGCAGGGTTAACCTCTTATTGTAAATCATGTACTTTGTTTACGCATATTGCTTGCTATGTAAGGAGGCTACTTTGTTGAAGTTGTTGAAGGGGGCATTGTGTGTTTTTACCAGAAACGAGGAGAGTTCAACTTCAATTCTGTATCAAGTTATTGTACTATTGCTTCTGCTAATAAAGGAATATAATAATTCCTTTATTCAGTCACCCCACATATTTACACCTCATCTAATGAATCTCCCCGAAATCAGCAACGTCTGTCAAAATAATCAAATCTTCAAAGCTTTCACGACAATACCTGCTTTTCTTCTGGTTATATGCTTTCAATAACATTTGATTGTAATTAATTCATCTTACTTATGGAGTAGTCAGTAATTCGTTCCTTTGGAAATTCTTAATCAGAGATTTTAAGCGTTATAAAGTGTAAGCGTAATCGTTTAACTTGATTCTCGATTCTTTCCATGACCGCTACTTGCTATTTTCCATTAGTTTTGTTTATGCTTTCTCGGAATTATTTTAAAGCTTCTCCATCATTAATTTGATTGGGTTGTTCTTGTATGTCTATAAATTCTAATTTCCAGAATCGATCGATCTCTGGAATCTCGTCATTAAGAGGCATTACGTTAGTTTGATTCTTTTCCTGAATATCGCAACATTCGTTGTACGTTAATGTTTCGCTAGGATCCTCAAGTTTCTCATCGAACTGATTAAGTTGCCTTTCGATATGTCCGCTTCTCGCTATCATTGAACCGACTATTGTGTTGATTAATGAGAACCCTAAATTCGTAACTTGAGTCTTTTCGAGCGAAATAAATTTAAAGTGGTCAACACCAATAATTAAGTCTGGTTGTTTCCAACTTCCATATTCTCCGAGGAGACATTGATTCAAAATCCGACAAGTTGTTTTGATTTATTGATAATACCCTAACTTGTTAAATAATCGACGAACGGTGGCTGCAATTGGTACGGTGTTGAGATTTAGGGTTCTTGTTCCAATTTGTACTTTGGCGCAGTGTGTCGTGAAAGTTGATTGGTTTTATTGGTTAGTCGAATACACAGAGCAGGAAACGTAATATTTGAGAAGAAAAATAAGATGTTTGTGGTCGATAGTGACTCCTCCTCGATCACGAATTAAAGGCCTGATGTTATTTAGTCTCAGGTTTATATATACTAAGAGTTGGGAGTGTTTTACAATAGAATTACAATAAATTACAGTAGGTATTACACCGGATGTTCACTTGCACAAAGGATTACCAGATGTTCATTTGCATAAATGTTAACAAAGGATTAGCATGTGAGAACAAATTAACATTTGATAACAAATTTTAGCATATGACTAATTGATTTATATAATTGAACTATGGCAATATTGAATTTGCGACATGAAGTACGTTAGCCATGGAAAGCATGCAAAGACAAACAGCGATAATTACGGATTATGCATACTCTATTGTAAACCACTCCCAACTCTTAGCATATATAAATCTAATACGAAATAACAAAGGACTTTCGCTTTTGGATTCGTAGTTCACTATCGTCGACAACCATATTTTTTTTCCCAAGTATTACGTATTCTCCGTATGTTCGGCTAACCAATGAAGTCATTTATTGTCGCAGATTTTAATATCGCGAAGCACTAAATAAATGTTAACAATGCTTAATATAGCAATTCATTGATGTCTTTCACAATTAATCGTAATGGCTTAACTGACTTTTATCTTATATCAATTCATATATGAGCACCTATCATGTAATGTCTACTGCAACTCATTATAGTAGCCACCCATCATAATGTCTAGGCAACCCATTATACTTTCCTTTGTGATATTCATTCAATCCATTGAAAAACCTATTTTTAAAGTAACTCATTATCATGTCTAGATAATTTATCCTTTGTACAAAAATGTCCAATTATAAACTACTCCCACATCTTAACACATATAATGTAAGATATAATTGCCATATAAGGGTAATTCTTGTTAAAAGATTTTAGTGTGTGTAAATTGTTACCAAGAACCAGACGAGTTCAATTTCAGTTGTTCTCTATCAACGTATTGTCCTATTATTTCTGCTAATAAGGGAATTGGTTTATTTCTCTGTTTCCCCACTTATTTACATTTACATCCAACGAATCTCCCTGCGATCAAAAACCTCTCCCAAAATTATTAACTAAATGATGAAATCTTCCATGACAATTATTCATGACACTTCATATCTTTCTTTTTCTTATTTGTCAATCAATTTGAACTCTCTTGTTCTGGCTGTGATTGTTTCATTACAATCAATGCGGAGGTTTCTGGAGTGATTGAATTAGGATGGTGTCGCGAACTATAATTTCGCGAAGCCTAATGAAAATAATAAGGTTAATATAAAGAAAAACTAATAAAACTAATTAATCTTTTTAAATAAACAGTCTTATGGTATCATAAATTATCTCTCCACTCATCATAATCTCTTCTATTAAATTCCTTATATGATCTTATTGTAAATACTTCCAATCCCTCACATATGTGATTTTACCATAGGCACGCCCAATCCTCATATAAATGCAATTCTGATAAATAAGAGTCTATTGTCTACTATAAGCCCTCATAACGAATCTAAATTTCCTCCGATTTTATAAAGTCTATTTCTACTGCTCACATTACTGATAATACGTTTTCATAAAAATAGCGATTCATTAATCTCACTGCTGTATCACAAATACTCGAGTATCTGACGACAAAAATAAATTTTTATAATTAAGTTTTGTACAATATTTCATCAGCAAAATTAATAAAACTTTCAATTAATCATGGTTTTAATTCAATTTAAGAATTAAAATTAAATTTTATTTCAAATTTAAATTTTGAATTTTTTAAAAATTTTAAAATTTGTGATAGTTTTTTTACATTAAACAAGGAAATTGGTTCTAGATTATCAACTTTAATTTTAATTAAGTCCTGAATCTGCTAAAAATAGCAATTTTTTGAACTTAATTGATTATGTTATATGCATTGCACCAGAGCGGGTCATATATGGTGTGGTCATTTTATAGTCTAAATATTAAAATACGCTTTTGTAATTAAGTTTTGCGCAAAAATTCATCAGCAAAATTAATAAAACTTTCAATTAATCATGGTTTTAATTCAATTTAAGAATTAAAATTAAATTTTATTTCAAATTTAAATTTTGAATTTTTTAAAAATTTTAAAATTTGTAATAAAATTAATTGAAAGTTTTATTAATCATGGTTTTAATTCAATTTAAGGTTCAAAATTGAATTTAATTTCAAATTTAAATTTTGAATTTTTTAAAAAATTTAAAATTAGTTATAGTTTTCTTTCATTAAACAAGGAAATTGGTTCTAAATTATTAATTTTTTATTTTAATTAAGTGCCAAAACTACTAAAAATAGCAATATTTTGAACTTAATTCATTATGTTATATGCATTGCACCAGAGCGGGTCATATATGGTGTGGTCATTTTATAGTTTAAATATTAAAATACGCTTTTGTAATTAAGTTTTGCGCAAAAATTCATCAGCAAAATTAATAAAACTTTCAATTAATCATGGTTTTAATTCAATTTAAGAATTAAAATTAAATTTTATTTCAAATTTAAATTTTGAATTTTTTAAAAATTTTAAAATTTGTAATAAATTAATCATGGTTTTTTATTAATCATGGTTTTAATTCAATTTAAGGTTCAAAATTGAATTTAATTTCAAATTTAAATTTTGAATTTTTTAAAAAATTTAAAATTAGTTATAGTTTTCTTTCATTAAACAAGGAAATTGGTTCTAAATTATTAATTTTTATTTTAATTAAGTGCCAAAACTACTAAAAATAGCAATATTTTGAACTTAATTCATTATGTTATATGCATTGCAGCAGAGCGGGTCATACATAGTGTGTTCATTTTATAGTTTAAATATTAAAATACGCTTTTGAAATTAAGTTTTGCTCAAAAATTGATCACCGAAATTAATAGAACTTTCAATTAATGATGGTTTTAATTCAATTTAAGGTTCAAAATTAAATTTAATTTCAAATTTAAGTTTTGAATTTTTTAAAAAATTTAAAATTTATAACAGTTTTCTTGCATTAAACAAGGAAATTGGTTCTAATTAATCAATTTTTATTTTAATTAAGTGCCAAAACTACTAAAAATAGCAATATTTTGAACTTAATTGATTATGTTGTATGCATTGCACGAGAGCGGAAAATAGTGAAGGAATATGTGAAGAAATGATGAAAAAAGTGATGAAATGATGAAAATAGTGAAGGAATATGTGAAGAAATGATGAAAAAAGTGAAGGAATATGCGATGAAATGATGAAAAAAGTGAAGGAATGTGTGAAGAAATGATGAAAAAAGTGAAGGAATATGTGAAGAAATGATGAAAAAAGTGAATATATGGTGTGGTCATTTTATAGTTTGAATATTAAAATACGCTTTTGTAATTAAGTTTTGCGCAAAAATTCATCAGCAAAATTAATAAAACTTTCAATTAATCATGGCTTTAATTCAATTTAAGATTTTAAATTAAATTTAAATTCAAATTTAAATTTTGAATTTTTTAAAAATTTTAAAATTTGTTATAGTTTTCTTACATTAGACAAGTAAATTGGTTCTAATTTATCAATTTTAATTCTAATTAAGTGCCAAAACTACTAAAAAAAGCTTATTTTGAACCTAATTGACTACGTTACGTGCATTGTACCAGTGCTGGTCGTATATTGCGTTGTCATTTTATAGTTTAAATATTAAAATACGCTTTTGTAATTAAGTTTTGCGCATAAATTCATCAGCAAAATTAATAAAACTTTCAATTAATCATGATTTTAATTCAATTTAAGAATTTAAATTGAATTTAAATTCAAATTTAAATTTTGAATTTTTTAAAAATTTTAAAATTTGTTATAGTTTTCTTACATTAAACAAGGAAATTGGTTCTAATTAATCAATTTTTATTTTAATTAGGTGCCAAAACTACAAAAATAACAATATTTTGAACTTAATTGGTTATGTTACATGCATTGCACCAGAGCTGGTCATATATAGCATGGTCATTTGATAGTTTAAATAGGGAAATTGTTGCGGATTATAATTTCGCGAAAACTCTAACCAAAATAATAAGGTTAATATAAAGAAAAACTAATAAAACTAATTAATCGTTTTTAAATTGTAAACAATCTTACGGTATCATAAACCATCTCTCCATAAATTTGGCTTCTTAAGATTTACTACTCATGTAATTTTATGTGAAATTAGCTCTCATCATCTCTTCTTTATATGATCTTAATGTAAACACTTCCAATTCCTTACATATATGAATTTACCATATACATGCTTAACCCTTCACATATATGATCTTACTGTAGACAACTCCAATTCATCACATATGTGATTTCATCTTAGGTACGCCCAATCCTCACCCATAAATGCAGTTCTGATAAACAAGAGATTATTATTGACTATAAGCCCTCATAACGAACCTAAATTTCCTCCGATTTTATAAAGTCTATTTCTACTGCTCAGATTACTGATAATACGTTTTCATAAAAATAACGATTATTAATCTCACTGCTGTATCACAATTATTCGAGTATCTGACGATAACTTTCACGACAATTTTATTTGGTGCAACGAGCCGGGAATCATGTCTAGCAACATTATTGCAAGCATCCAACCGGCAAAAGAAAGGTTAGCTAATCTTCTTAAAGAAATAAATTTAATGGAGATCAAGTCTCCGGAATCAAGTATGACACTACAAGAAAAGAAAGATTTTTATGTAATCAAAAAAAGATTACTCGAGGATAAACTCCAAAGAATTCAATTATGTGTAGCTACGCTCGAATCTATCAATGATAAATGGTTCACATACACTCAACAAATTGTCACAATGAAAAGAAAAATACAAAGCGGTAACAGAAGACGACCAAGGAATATTCCAATTATTACATGAAAGGAAGGAAGCGATAATAACGCTAGCAGTTCATAAGGATGAAGCTAATCAAAACATGACTTTTAAGACTTGACGAATAAACAGGCGAAAAAAGAGATAAAATTTACTCTTGCTTCGAATATTAATGTGATTCTTCCTCATTTGTCGCTACCTACTTTCGATGGAGACCCTAGACAGTGGCGACAATTTTGGAACAGTTTTAAAGCGGCATTCCACACACAAGCGATTCCACAAATACGAAAACTGAATTATTTGTACTCATGCCTCAAAGGAAAAGCTCTACAAGCAATATCTGGATATGATATAGCTCCAGAGAATTATGAAGTTATAAGAAAACTGCTCAACGAAAAATATGGCGATCACTCAATAGTAACGACATTACTATACAATGAGCTCCAATCAATTAAAAGAAATGAACGAGAATGGATTGGAACTATTGAAAACATAGAACGAGTACTACGTCAGTTAGAAGCTTTAGGAGAAAGCCTCGAACACTCAAATATCGAAATTTTGATCGAGAGTGAATTGCCATCATGGATATTAAATAAAATATATAGACGAAAGAAGGATATGCACTGGTCAATTCTTAAATTAAGGAACTTTTTGACAAGCCTAGTTAATGTGAATGAGCAGATTAGAAACTGTCAACATTCACTCACTCAAACCAATATTAAATATACGACTACCAAACCTGAGCAAAAACAACGGTACAATCCTGGAGGAACTTCAGCATTGTCGACAACAAAAAATAATCAAAATCTTTCGAAAATTACAATAAAGAAAAGAAGACCATGTGTATTCTACTGTCGATGTCATTAGGACAGTGATTGTGAGATTTATACTACTCTCAACGCTCGACTGAATCGTCTCAAGAGTCTTACATAACAGTGCTTTATGCGATAAAAGGAATTCACTTTCTTTGAACAATACAAGGTACCAAAGAAATGAAGAGCAAGAAAAAATCGTACATTCGAAGGAAAGGAAATGTTCAACTTCTCTTTACAACTCAAAGAAACACATCAAAGAGATTGCCAAAACAGAAATAACTTATTACTGTTGATCAAATGGTTATCAATTAGCAATCCTACCCTTGCAGCGAAATTAATACTTCAATGAAACGATGTGATAGCTAAAAGAATTGATGGAAATTTGATACTGGCTTCTTGCAAATCTGAAGGACCAACAATTGAAAATATCGGATTCAAAGGAGGTTTAATAAGTAAGTTTGAAATTGAAAGAATTAACGCAGAATTAGAAATCCTGACTCAAAACTATGAAACAATCAATTCAATACCACATCAAATGAGGGATGAAATCTTTTGGCAAGAAATTTCTGAAGAAGGAGAAAAATTTACTGAACAAATGGAAAAAGAATTTAACGAAATTGTTCTACCGGTAGAAGAATTTGAAGACGTAACAATACATTGGAAATTGATTTCTATTTGTACAATTATTGTAACAATATTAACTGTTTCAGTTATTCTTAAATGGAAGTTTAAATTGGTTCAATCCTTGTTCCGTACTACTCCTAAACGAAATTCAAATCAAGTTACTATTATTACTCTTCCTGTGGAATCACCACACACTAATTCCTAACTAAGGAAGAAATTCCAGCCATTAAACTCCATACTTTTCGCTATATACCTGAAATTCACTCTCCATTAATTTCCACAGAAATCCCACATTAATTCAATCTCTCTCCCCCTTTGGGAATGTCGCGAACTATAATTTCGCGAAAACTCTAATCAAAATAATAAAGTCAATATAAAGAAAAACTAATAAAACTAATTAATCATTTTTAAATTGTAAATAATCTTACGGTATTAAAAATTATCTCTCCATAAATTTGGCTTCTTAAGATTTATTACACATGTGGTTTTATGTGAAATTATCTCTCATCATAATCTCTTCTTTTAAATTCTTTATATGATCTTATTGTAAACATTTCCAATCCCTCATATATGTGACTTTATCATAGGCACGCACAACCCTCACCCATGCAATCCTGATAAACAAGAGTTTGTTGTCTACTATAACCTTCATAACAAAACTCAATTTCCTCCGATTTTATAAATTCTATTTCTATTGCTCAGATTACTGATAATACTTTTATAAGAACAAACTTACAATAATTTCTCTACTATATTATAAGCAACAGCGTATTTGACGTTTACTATCTTTAAGCTCCGAGCGGAACACAACAATTAACGTAGGTTTATTTAACCTTTATATCTCACAAATTAACATAAGTCTATTTACCTTTATATCACAGATGGCGTCTAATCAACTTTCTTCGATTTACGTTATCCAAATATTTTCATTCCATTACCTGGTCGTTCCTATTGATTGTTTTCCTAAAAAACTGTTGAAGTTTTATTACGGACCATTGGTCATCTTTTTCTTGTTGATAAACCTGGTTCAGTATCCAATTCGGTAATTTGGATTCTATTATAGTTTCAATCATCGGTTGCTCTACGTTTTTGTCAATTGTTTCTAACTGCTTAACATTCTTTCCACTTCTACTATTTTCCAATTTCAGTCGTTTCGTTTTGTATGTATGAGTTCATTGTACAGTAATTTTCTTATGGTGTGAACACGACCAAATTTTTCCACTAATAATTCTCTTATAATGTTATAATTTTCAGGTGTCCTATCATAGCCTCTTACTAGTTGTAGGGCGCTTCCTTCTAGATAGGGAACTAAATAATTTAACTTTTGTATGTCGGGTACATTTGGAGAGTGTACGGAGGCTTCGAAACTACTCCAGAACTCTCTCCATATCTTAGGATCACCGTTGAATGTTGACAATGACAGTTGAGGCAAATTTATTACTGGACGACACTCAGTTAGGCTGTGTTTCTTACTTTGTGTTAAGCGTTTAAGAGCTAACTCGGTATCGTCCTTATTATAATAGTATCTGTACCTATGTTGATTAAATTTAAAATATCTCTATCATCAGCCATTTCTTCATATTTCTCTTCTTTCTTTCTTTGCGACATTGAAGTTTGTTGAATGTATTCCAACCATTTGTCGGTGATTTTTTCAAGAGTGCCAACATATTTTTCGAGGCGCATCAATTTTTCCTTGATGATTCTTACCCTCGTTTCGTATTGCTGGCATAATACTTCTATTGGCTACTTTTGGTCTAACGGAGTTAGACCTATTTGTCGTGTTTCATCGAGGAGATCCTCGAGAATTTTCTTTTACCGATTTCGATCGTATAATTATGCTGGCAGACATACTTCATCTCGGGCACCAAAAAAATTTCCTTTTATCGTGGAATGTATCGACTGTCAGATATTTTATTTGATTTCAAACTTGGATTAATCCAACAAAGCGATGCGCAATGAAAGATGTAATATGTTTTTAAGCAATAAGGTATTATTAAAGGTTAACTCCAAATGTAGAAGAATGAATGAACAAGCAATGACCGAAAAGGATGAATCCAAAGAATGGATGCCCAACCCCTTTCTCACGGGGGATGTCTCTTGGCTTATATACCGAATTTTATGACAGTTGAGACCTAGCGGAGAGATTTGATTTGTGAAAAACAAAGGTTGTTGACAGCTTTTATATTGAGGAAGGGGAAGTAATAAACTTAATGACTTAACGATCTTAACTTAGATTAATTATAGATGCGAAATTGTTTAGTGATTGATTGATTGATCAAACAGGTGCTAAAGGATATTAACATTTGAATATAATTTAAGTGTGTCGTTTTTACAACTGTGATTCTTGACTTTCTAATTCTAAATTAATGTTGCTTTCGCAGAATATACTATCTGTTTAAGATAAAATTTATTCTTCTTACAGAGTTTGTCAATGTCACCACCTCTACCAATCATAGGGGCAACCTTTGACTGGATTAGTATGTGTCCTGAATGTAACTCCTTGATTTCTTGTAGATTAATTTGAAGAAATAGCCAGATGCAGTCAGCACGTTACGTTTTTTCTAATAGTATGTTAATTCCTGGAAAATTTTGGAAAGTTTATTATTTTATTTAAAATTTGCAATACTGAAATTTGTGATATTATTTTCCTTTTTGCATTTTTGTTGTCATCTGTCAGATCAACACAAGCTTTGTTTGCATGCGTTACAAAATTCCTGTAAATGATTTGAAATGATTATCTTTGATCAGAAAATTGTAATCTAGAATTTAGTTACTGCTCATGTAACGTATAGCTGTTAAATGACCACTTTGCTAATTCTTGATTAATAATTCATTGGTTTGCCTTGTTCAGTTTCTTGAGTGCTATGGTATCCCAGTTGTGCACTTCTTGTTATTGTTCTCCAATTGTTCAGCTTGAAATTGTATTTTTTTTTTTTTTCTTAAAAAAAAAAATAAAAAAATAAAAGCATATAATTGTCACAAAGAGATAATTATCACCCGATTGAGAAATAATCAGCCTTATTAGTGAAGAATTGACAAATAATTTATTTACTGTTCTAGTAGTGGTATTCTTCTCATTCTTTTGTATAATTTGTTACACTTTGATAAATGTTATCGAAGATTATACATTCTCTGCGAAATAAATGACAACGATGGGATGGGAATGGATTACTGTAGAAATTTAACCATGAAAGGTTGATATAATCTGAATTTATGTTTATTATTTTCTTATCCAAAATAAATCGATCGCAGAGGTACATTTTCGATTTTAGTGACACTTTTCAGGTGTTTTTTTTTATATGTGCGAACCTTTTCATCTACTTGAAAAATTAATTAAAATTTTGTATTAGTTAAGAAAAATATACAATACAGATTAAAATGATCGAATGTTTTAATAACAGTAACATTCTTTCCTTTTCTAAAGAGGCATTGCAAAAAGAAGAAATTTCTTTGCTTTGAAAAACATTCATTTTTGCTACATAATCCTGGTGCAACAGACACTCGCAAATTATGAATAATGAATAATTTGTATCAAAGTATATTGTCAACACAAGAGAGATGAATTATGTCGGTGATGTAATATGAAGCAAAATGATGTTATTAATAGAATAATATTCTGTCTTTTGATGAAAAGGAAAAGTGATATGCTATCTATCCATCTACCACAAATTCATATCACAAGTTGATATTCAAAGCGAATTATTGAAATTATATCTTCAAAAATTCACTTGCTGCTATAAATAAGGAACTTAGTGCCATATGATATGAAATATGCATATCACTGATTTTAAAGAAAAATAATGTTCATGTTGCAATAAAAAATTATGTGTTATAAGATATTGATGTTAATTACTGTTATTTACTTGTTGATATAAATTGTTATTGATTATTGATTGATGTTAATACTTCTATTAATAATTACTCTTAAAAGAAGCAAGTTATTATTTAAACTTTTCTTTTAAAATTTGATTTTCTTTACTTTTAATCATCACTTTGAAAAAAATTTTAAAGCACTGCTAACTTTCAGCTCTAATTAAACTGCCAAAGTCCCATGGCCATAGATCGCAAACTGACAACTCCTGACTCAGCTTTCAAAGTGATATCGACTTTTTTTATTGTACAACTTCATTAGTATTTGAAAATCATATTTTTATAAAATTCACTACTTTATTTATAAAAGTCGTTTTTTAGATGAATTGAAAAATTTTTTCCTATTGAAATTAATAACAAGAACTCAGGTTCTAAAAAAAATTAGTGTTTCATTTTCCAATACCATGTCATTATCTCATCATTTCATCACCTTACCAGCATTTCATTTTTTACAAATTACAAATTAATTACGAACCGATTGCAAACCATTTACAAACCATTTGAAGACCTGCTTCATTCCATGCATTAAAAAAATTTTTCTGTGCTAATAAAAATATG